AGCTCTTCCTGATTATTTCCTCAATGAATCCGTCGAGTGTAGGCGGAAAATTGAAAATTGATTGGGACTTGCCTAAGTAACGAAAACGATTCCGTGGAATTCTCTTCTTGATTGTATTTTTTGTGGGTAGGCTCTTACGATTGTTGGTCAATAAAATTAAATTGTAATTGGATTTAACTATGCATTGAAATGGATGAGTGGACTAGGAAATGGCAATGCTGAGGAGTGGTGGGAGGAGTTTAAGAAAACGCAAAAGAAGGAAATGCGGAACCCAAGGAAACCAAATTAAATACTTATTCTCTTGAATATTTTAGAAAATTAAATTCACAATTATTACGCCAGCGCCACGAACTACTTGTGGCGCGGCGGCAATAAATGGAACCTGCAATTCCCAAGTTCGCAACATTCATCAGCAACATTCTTCGTAACATTGTCTTCGCAACATATATGAAATTTCCAAATTCGCAGCATTTATCCACAAATGAATTAAAATGAATCCGGCACACACACAATAACTGCAGTAGTAAGTATTATAACTTAAAATTTATAAGTGTTAAAGGCTAAAAACATATATTTTTATTTTACATATCGCGCTGCACACTCCACGCACTCACTCGCCGAAAAGGGAGAAAGGAGCTAGCTGCCGAAAGTGAGTTCCCCACAAAATTAATACTATGTCCCTCTACTCTTTGAGTATCGTAATTCGAAAACTATTCGCACTATATTCGACGATATTTCAGCCGACGTTACGCCTCATATCACACCAAATTTCTCACGAAATTTGTGCTCTAAAGAAAATTAAAATTCACATGAGAAAATTTAACTAGCGTTGGTTATGGATTATTAATTTATATTTTTAAATTGAGTAATTGGCAAAGCAAAGCTACAGACATGTTTTCGGTTTTCTAGGCTGGTTAATTTCCGTTGCAAATGATATTGAAAATTGCAGCAAATTTTCAAATCAATTTGAGCAATTTCTTTAATTAATTAGTGAATTTTTGAAGGTGGCAATGCAAGTCATCCCAATAACTACCTGGGACTAAAACTTGCACTGAAAACAATGGCAGGTGGACAACAGCGATGTAAAAACTAGTTCAGTATCACTGCAAGTCAGGAAACTGTTATGCAATCCCCACCTATTCTGCATTAACCATGGCCAGATGAATGAACCATCCAAAACAATAACCGCAGGTAAGGTGGAAACGATACAGCAGATTGGCTAAAGTCTGCAACCATGACAGACAAAAGAAAACCCCAAGAAAAAGAAGGGGCAATAGTGGCTAATGACGAATCTTTGATACGCTCTCTATGGTTAGAGACCCTTGAAGTCAGTGCTCCAGTGCTACCTCTAATTTTAATAGAGGTTACGGTAGTTCATTCTTTGCACATTTTACCATATACCCATCTTCAACAAAGAGTATAGAATGCCAAACATGAAAAAAAAAACTAAAACAATTGCGGTCCTCTGGGTTGTCTTCTCACTGCACTTCACAGTTTTCGTTTTCATTTTCATTTGCATTGCATTTTCATTTTCCCTTCCATTACAATGCTTCGAGTATATCAAAACTCTAAATGTTTTGCTGCCTCTATTTGACTTTAGCCCCGTTTTGTGGTGTTATAGGCCAACGAGCTCATTACTTTCAATCAGCTGCATTAGCCAGGCCCAACATTGTTTGCTTTCGTTTACAAGTGCTTGGAAAACTCCGTCTGTCGGCAGTCGCGGAAAAGCATTTTATGTCATTCCCTTTTTTTCGGACTGGGCACTCCCTAATTGTAACTTGTCTCTTGGCTTTTCTCTGCCTTGGCCGTGGCCAGAATTAATTGCTACTGCATCTGCATTGGCTGACAATGCTTTTTACGAGTACCTTTTATTTTTCTTTGCCAGTTCGTGAACTCGGGGGCTGGGTTGTCTCTCAAACTATTGCAAAACGTGAGGGAGAATCGGCTGAAGATGCCATCTGTTTCACCTCAGATAAACACCTCTGGGAAAAGTCGGAAATAAGAGCCGGCAAGGTAAGACCATGGCCCCAAAATAAAGAATAAAATAAAATAGTATGAATAAAATATATATATATTTTAAAAAATTCCCTCAAATATATAATTATTTACACATATTAATCAAGATCAATGGCACACTTTTCAGCAAAGCATTAATTTTTAAATTTATTTATCCGTTGTCGGTGTCTTGTTTAAAAGCTCCGCCTGCAGGTCTTCGTATTCTTTTCGGCTGTGGATGGATGCTGCTGGAGCCTGCAGGTGGCCAAGTGTTGCAATCAATAATTGCGCATAACGATATAGAGTATTGTGAAACCCATTCAAATCTGTCGTCGATAATAAAACACCAAGAGAAATTCACTGTAGAAAGGTAGAGTTTTCTTTGAAAATCAAACGTACTTGGTGGAAGCTGAATGGATTTGAAATGGAAACCTTTGACTCAAATTATGATCTACTAACGCGATTAAAGAATACAAGTCCTATCTTAAAAGGGAACTCTTGATACAAGCCCAAAGATTGTTGAATTACTTATGGATAAGGGAATCCCCATTCCCATCCGTTCGATTTGAGGTGGATTATCTGGCGCTTCTCTGAGTGTAGCGAAGCCTGTGCAATGATATGGAAATCGGGGTTTCGGCTACACGCAACTCCTCTGCACATGAAACCGAAATACTCGTATGAAAACAAACAACAACCGACTCCCCTCAAAGCAATGTCACCCAGCCGCAGACCCGGTGCCGGGTCGTTCGTGAGTGCCATTTTCGGTAGTTTTTCATTTTTTCATTCGCTTCTTGCGCGGACGCAGCTTTTAAAAAGCTCTTAGTCTACGGCCTGATAACTACTGGCACAGTACCCCACAACCACAACCGAGTGGCGCACTCAATTAGAAGCGAGCCTCCCATTTAACCCGATGTGTCGCTCATTCCTACGTGATTTAAATGCGAACTTCGTGAGACTAAAGTAATGGCCGGGCTCATCGCGGTGCTGGTGTCTTTACTTTCCCTGAATCCACTCTCAGAGGCATGTAAGTGAGGATGAGGATGATCGCGACGCCGATAAGGACTGTGTGATTTGTGTGCATAAATACTTATCGTATACTCAACGCGTGTTTCTCCGCGGTTTCTTTTTTTAGCCAACTACCATATAGAGGCGTTGCAGTTCTTCTTGCGTAATGGAAACTTCGATTTGAATCCATTCAACTGTCATTTATGGCTGTGGGAAACGTGTCCCAGGCGGTACATAGGATTCCAACTTTTCACCAGGTGTGTTGCAAAAGTCTTGAAAGTGTGCTTCCAAATATAACCTACATGGATGGGCACTTACATTCTATGATCTACTACTGAAATTGTGTAATTTTGAGAAACAAAATGGTACCGGAAACCCAGAATTTATTTTGAGAATCTTTATTGTAGAACCTTTTAAATATTCAGTTCGGTATGAAACGAAGGGTATTGCAAAATTTGCTCATTATAAGAGTTATTCCTCCAGATGATCGCAGAGAGCGAAGAATTATGTTTAATTCGCCAAGAGATCTCAAAAAAAAGGAAAGATGGTAATCCTTTTTATTCAAATATTCGATAAATCCGAATGGAATTAATTATCTGCGAAGAATTTTAGAATTCTACGAGCTTTGTAGCTTGGATACACAGACAGACTTAGAGAAGATTATTCTAGAGAAATGTATTATACGCTGTGTGTATAAAATTTAAATATTTTAAAATGCAAAAATTATCTTAATATGCTACAAGCATTTTTTCGCGTACATATCAGTGGATTTTCGATCGGATAAGAAGCATTTACTACTTTCGGAATCGTATTGAAACAATCGCTTGTTGGCCAACATTGACCGCTCTAAACGTAAACACTTTCCAATCTTTCACTTTTCTGTGCCTATGTAAGGCATGTGTGCTTTGGTTTAGCCCATCATTTGGCTGCAGAAGACAAAAGCAATTCATTAAGGTCGCAAGCAAGTATGCAAAAAGATTTGGGATTGATAACATTTTGCAACTGACAGAAAAATGAGCCGACATTTGAAAAGAAACCCCAACTACGAGTATGGAAATAATGTCAAATCGAATCGCGAGAATTCGCATGCCATGCGACTGGTTATGTAAATGAAACAAGGGCGAATTACGATCCGCAGACACCATGAAGGAGGCGACGGCATTGAGTTGGAAAATGAAATCAAAACATCAATTTCCAGATGAAAACTCATAATCAAAGTCAGTGCAGCGCGATGCAGCGTTGCGTGCGCCATGGATACTCATTTCTCAGACGTCGCCAGGCAGACACCCGGCCACAGCAAGACCAAAGTCGTTCACGTTTCCAGCCAAGTTGGAGGCGGTCGAGGCAAAGTCAAGGCAACAACCGGCAGCGCAGAGCCCATTCTATGGCCAGTTTTTGCCGTTGAGCTCCCGTTGCGCTGCCGTTGCCTTGGACTGCAATTTCCCCGGTCGCGTTTTTCACGCTGCGCATTCGCAGCGCGTCGCGCGAATGTGCAAGACGTTGTCCGGATGTGGCCGCGAAACAACCAAAATTGAAGAGTTCGATGTAAAGGATTGTGGTGAAGTCGAACGAATCGACGAAAAAATATGTGATCAGAGTGCAAATTACCGATTAGTGGACACTTTATGCGGAAAATGTAGAGTGGAATTGGTTTATAAATCAAAAAAAAAATATGTGAAAGAAAGAAACTTCAAAATTAAAGCGAGTTATTAAACACGTTAATATCGCAGTAAATATAAAAAATAATTTAAAATTTAAAAAACGTATAGCATATACATATACAAAACAAAGCAATACTATAACTATATATATTTACATATATCTCATCGGTCTATGCAACAAACTTGTATGAACAAAGTGAAAGCCAAATTGCAAATATCTAAAGTGAAATATTTATATCCCGGACAACACATCTGAATGCAGTTTTATTTAAAAAATTCCACACTGCCATCAGAAAGGAAATTTATTCAAATTAATCAGAGAGTCCGCCCCAGCTAAAAATGAAATATCTTTTCGTGTTTTGCCTTTTCACACTCATTGCCAAAGGTACTACCTACGCATATAGAAGTGCGGAAATTAAACCAAAAACATATCAATGGGTATAGACCATCAGTACATAAACCTGCCCGAACATTTTCAGATGTCCAAGCATTGCTGATAAACCAAATGGACTGGAAGAACCTCCTCAGCAGCGGTGCCCTGGACCTAAACGTCTTGCGCTGCTTCCTGCGCGACAAGAACTTCTGCCCCAGTCCCCATATCGAGCATCGACTGTTTGCGCCGTAAGTGGAGAGTGGAGAGTGGATTGTGGGGCCACGCCATCGATGATTTAGTATGTGAGCGATCGGGGAGAGTTCCTATAGAGTTCTTATGGAAGATGTCCCACAGTGCGGGAGAAAGTTAAGTCAGGTGTTAGGCAACTCGATTTCCTCACTCGGTTAGTGTGTCATCGCCCAAAATACAAAATACAGAGTTGTGCGACAAGAAGGATATGGCTGGCGAATACCAAAAAATAAGAGTGCAATTAATGGGCGAGCAACTTGTTTCGCAAACCGGACGCTGACCCACTAAGGAGAGATGCTCCGAGCTGCACAAGGCCTGAATCAGCCCCACTGACCGCTAAACTTGGTCGACATCAATTGGCATCAATTGGAGTTAATAATTGACAAATAAAATGTTTAACAAACAACGGTCGAAGTCGTTCAACTCGTCTGGCCCAACTCTGCCCCTGCCAGACAACTCCCGATCACCAGCTCCAGTCCAAAGATGCGCTCTTGGTATCACCATATCCGGAGTGCAGTGGCGGCATTGTTGCGGTAACATGAGATGCTCGAGACGATTACACGTGAGGACCGTTTAACAAGTCGAAGATTGACGGTTGAGTAACATTTAAGAGTTACGGGACTAAGCCATTCATTCTTGGAAATAGAAGATCGAAGCTTTCTTTAATGGCATGGAGGATTTCTAGAGAAAACAAAGGAATGGACTACAGTGAACAGATCCGGCCTGAGGCCGTGCTTGCCGCATCCAAAAGGGACATCGATTTTGCACTCAATTGTGCCCAATGTTAACACCAAAAACATCGCCCTTCTATACTGATCCACAATATCATCAAACAATTATATGTACATACATACATATATTTAAATTTTATGTCTTCTGTACTTACCTTATCATTAATCTGGTTCTCTCTCACAACGAAGTTTTCACAAAGTACTCTTTTTTTGTCGGGAATACATTGTATGTTTATAAAGATAAACTCATTTGCACTTAAGGGTGGGATTTCCTTCCCATTTCTCGTAATTGAAAGCACATTAATTTTTCACCGATCGGGGGTTGCGCTTATAAAAGTGTCTGAGAAGATCATCCAAACTAGATGAAATAAGCAGTAGCTTTTTCTGCTACAATTCCATAGTCACTGAAGTGTGAACATCTGCAGAGTTACATAAGTGGACGTAGTTCCATAGTATGTGATTAAGCTCAACTTCAATTAGGTGCATTACAATTTAACAAAATCGCTTCCGTCTGTCTTCCAGCAATGGGCCACGTCGCGGAGTGGCTTTGAATGTAAAATCCCCGACGAGTCTGTACCAGGGCGGCTTCGGAAAGCATCGGGAAACGGTCTTCATAATCCACGGCTTCAACGGCACAGCCATTGACGTGCATCTGCAGTTCCTGAGGGATGGTTAGTGGCGTGACCGTGGCCATGGGCTACCAGATGGAACGTTGATTTTTCTCATTGTCATTATACAGCATATTTATCGCGCGACTTCAACGTGATTACCGTGGACTGGCGGCCCTTGACGCGATATCCCTGTTATCTGCATTCCCTCATAAACACCAGACTCACGGCGCAGTGCACAGCACAGATCTATGCATTTCTCACCCATTATGGCGCCGTCAGAGAAAAAATCACCTGCGTGGGCCATTCCTTGGGGGCCCACATCTGTGGCATGATCAGCAACCACTTGACCAAGAAGCAATATCGCATAATAGGCCTGGATCCGGCCCGTCCTCTAATCGAACGAAAGAAGAGCAACACCTTCCGCCTATCTCTCGACGATGCTAGTGTCATACAAGTTCTCCATACAAACGCCGGATTCCTCGGCCAGGAGGACAACACGGGGCACCTCAATTACTGCGTAAACGGAGGGCGTATCCAACCGTACTGCAAGGGAAATCCCATTAGTAAGAACTCGCAATATGTTAGTCCAATCTGCTCTATGCCGATTTCGTACCAATTTCTTTCCTTGGCAGGACGATACCGCTGTTCGCATTTCCTGAGCATTTGTTACCTGGCCTCGGCCACGTACAAGCATAAGAAGTTCGTGGGCGTGCCCTGCCCCAATGGGTGTCAGAATATCAGCGGGCCCAAGCGATTGCCAGTCAGCGGTAAAATGAATCCGTTCGAGTTTGTCTCGCTTCTGCGGGAGTACCATATAGGCAACGATGCCCCGGACGAGTAAGTGCCAAATAAGGTTCTTTAATTTCAAATGTATCAAAAACACATGCTTCCAGCGCCCGTGGCTGCATTTGCATAGATGTGCCTTATGCCAAGCACTGCCCCTTCACGGATATGTAGAAGCTGGCCACCAACTAGGTTTTCACTACAAAATATAGCTGTTGGCAATAAATTGAAGTACAAAATATTCTGTTGCCGCCTTAGTGCATTTTTGAATTTATTTATCGGCCCTGAGCACGCTATTTGCGTGCCACCTGCTGGTAGATGTTGGCCGACGAGGTTGGCCACTAGAACTGTTGAACTTTTTTATTTAAAAATTTTCTTAAATTAGCTAATCCTGTAGAAATTGTCTCAAACATAAAACTGGATAAAACTGTCTAGGCAGGGCTAAGGGTTTTAGTAAGCCAGCATTATTCAACGGAATATCAAAATTGAGCAAAAGGAACGATTACTCTCTTACGTTTTTACACTAAAACCATTTTTAAGGCAAAATCCGATAAAAGCAAGTATTTAAAATAAATCAGTCGAATAGAAAATAGGTTCATTAATTGGATAAAATTGTGTGGGCAGGGCTGAGAAATCTATCTAGCCAGTAATATTCGACGGAATATCAAAAACGAGGAATATGTATAATAGAACTTGAATTCCAGTATATTTAAGGTATATTTTCAAAATGAGCCGGTATATTTTGGTATATTTCTGAGGGTCGGGCGGTAAATTTTGTCGACAAATCCGCGGTCACACTAAAAACAAGAGAAAACACAACGAACAATTAGATTTTTTTCTAAAAAAATAATACTGCGGGCAAGGAAGCTATCATTGGCAATTTTCAACATCGTGCCACGCTGCTTAAGGGTAACATAATAAGCACGGTAGCATAGCATAGCAAAAGCAATCATGGGATGCGATGGCGGAACTATTCCCAAACGCGATGAGCTGGTCCGCGTCAAACAAAAGCCAGAACAGGTAAATATCATCGAATATCATCAGCGCCATGGAACTCAAAACTAAAATTGAATTGTGTATTGTGCAGAAAGACAAAGACGCGGAGCGGGAGTTTCGCTGGCTGCACTGCACTCTGACGCAGCAGCGCCTGCAGGAGCCCATAGCCATGTGCGGAATGGGCAGATTGTACTCAAAGCAGAGCCTCATCGAGAGGCTGCTGGAAAAGGAGAAAATGCCCGAGATGTCCGAGCATGTGAAGAGCCTAAAGGACATTAAAACTCTACAATTGACCCCCAATCCCGCCTTCACAGAAGAGGACAAGACCGAGGGACTGCTAGACACTCGTCATGCCCCATATATATGCAAGCTGATTGGGCTTGAGATGTCAGGAAAGTTTCGATTCGTTGCACTTTGGAGCTGTGGATGTGTGGTGTCCGAGAGAGCCCTGAAACAGATTAAAGGAAACTCGTCCAGCACTTGCCCCTTGTGCCAGACCCCCTACAGTGTCGAGGACATAGTCGTTCTGAACGGTAATGAAGAGGACTTGGAGCTGATGAAGGTCAAAATGGAAATGCGAGCAGCCAAAAGGAAGTCGTCGAAAAAAGACAAAAAGGAGGCCAAGAAGGTGGAGATTAAAACAGAGACCGACGAGTCTTGTGCGTCCACGGTTGTGACTGAGAAGCCCTCAACCTCAACCAGCTCAAAAGTCAAGGTAGTCGCCAATCCCAAGCGCTTGGGGACTGCGAACGCCATGCAGGACCCCGAACTCAAGCGATTGAAAAACGACTTCAGCGTGGCCAAGGACCCAAAGGCCAGCGATGTCTACAAATCCCTCTTTACCTCCCACAAAACGGAGAAGGAGCAGGAGCGTGCCCACTGGGTCACCTACAATCCATTCTACAATTAGTTTAATAAAATATTCCCAAGATTGCTGTGCGTTAAAAATCATATTTGCAGACAACTCCAAAACCATTTGATAGAATAAAACTAAACACGAAACGAAACTCCGACAATGTATCGTTCTGCTTATCAGAAAGGGTTTCTAACAATCCTCTACAGCGTGGGCAGCTCACCTCTGCAGCAGTGGTCTTCTTATGTGAGTATGACCTACTTGACTATCCCAGTATAGCCCTAACAACCTGCGTCTCCGGCTAGACCAAAAATGGTTACATTAAGCGGATATACGATGATGATATCAAGTCTCTGGTGCTGGAGATAATTGGTTCCAATGTGTCGACCGCATTCATCCACTGCCCCAGTGAGTGCAAGGAGCAGCTCGGCATCAAGCTGCCGTTTTTGGTGCTTCTGATAAAGAACATGCATAAATATTTTTGCTTCGAAGTTAAGGTTCGTTTTCCTGATTAAATATTATACGTCCACCACTTACTCTGGCATTCTCGTGCAGATTCAAGATGATCAGCGTTTCATGCGCCGCTTTCGCGTATCGAATTTCCAGAGCAAGACTTCTGTCAAGCCGTTCTGCACTGCCATGCCAATGGGCATGTCGCCTGGCTGGAACCAGATTCAGTTCAATCTCGCTGATTTCACACGGCGCGCCTACGGCTCGAACTATCTGGAGACCGTATCGCTGCAGATACATGCCAATGTGCGCATTCGCCGCGTCTACTTTGCTGACAAGCTCTACACGGAAGCAGAGCTTCCCAATGATTACCGCTTGATGGGCAAGCCCAAGGATTTGAAGAAGCCGGAGAAGCAGTTTAAGGTGCCTCCTACTGCTCGTCCTCCATCGCCTCTGAATACGGCGCGTGGTGAAGGACCGGTTAAGGCACCTCAGCCAGAGGCGCCGGTTCAGGAATCGGAGCCGGAGGCTGCTCCGGAGTTGAAGAAGGCACCGTCGCCTACCGTCTCCGTGGGCGTGGTCTCAGCTGCTCCGGAGCCCGCAGCCGAGGAGCCCCCTACACAGACCGAGGCCACTGAGGAGGCCTACTACTAGAATTATATCTATGTTTATATGTTCATTGTTAATTTAGTTAAACACAAGGGCAGGGGGCAGGGCACGACCATAAAATTCCCAGTAGTACATAGATAACATGGTTTATTGTTACCAAAGTCTACTCTACAATTAAACAAAATCTTCTTTGTTATATTGGAAATTTGCTAGGACATCTAAATTGCGAAAACTTTCTTATTCACTTTGGTCGGAGGCTGCAACGATGTTTAGCATGTCGGCGTCTATGTTTTTCAGGGCATTGTGGTACTCTGTGATCTCCAGCGCCTCCCATTCCGCTTTGAAGGCTGCCTTAGGGTCCTGCGGCATGGTCATGGCGGCGCCAGTCATTGCATCTGCCTGTGCCTGAGTCTGGTCCGCGTGGTTGTTCTCGCCCAGGACTAACGTGTAGATGGAGCGCAGGCCGAATACGTTGAGGAAATACCAGGAGGCGGATGAGACCCAGGCAGCGTCCAGGGAAGCTAGCTCAACTCCACGTTGTAACATGGGCTTGAAGCGCAAGGTCAGCGGAAACGGCACCTTGGTGGTCACGAAACCAGAGAACATCCAATTAATCCATCCTCCGATGACGACCATCGGCAATACGTTGATGAAGTTCCCTTTTACCATGTCAGTCAGCATGGCAGATGAGTTCTGGGCCACAGGCGCCCGCTTCTGGGTCTTGAAGTAGCCCGTTTCCTCGCTGTTAAAGTAGTTTTTCCTCATGGAGAATGACTGGGCGCTCAAGTATTTGCCATTTTCCCGCAGGAGGCGAGCGCGAATCATGGCTTGACTGCGAACGAACCGAAATCACTTATAATCAATTGTCTTACGATGCACTTTGCTCGCGACTCACCTGTCCTGGATCTGGGTTATTTCGGCCTTCTTTTGGGTTGATATCAGAATAGACACATAGTGGCGCACTATGCCAACCAAAAAGGTGATCAGCACTATGGGCAAGAAAACCCACACGCGAATGTCCGGATCAATGAGCAGCTCCGTCATTATTTGATTAATAATTTATTTTAATTAATCAACTTTTTCGGTTTTTCAACAGGAACTAGGGTTGCTATATTCATATATCGATATGTATACATTTTTGTATAATATTTTATGCAATCGGTATTTTTCTCCAATATGTAGAAATGGATTAGGAAATGGAATGAATATTATTTGACTGCATTATGCACTAAAGTGTTTGCTTCAATATTTTAAAGAGCCCTTGGTCCAAACATTTAAATAAAAAACATGGAAACTCTAGCAGGAATTGATGTATGACATTAGACTTTGCTAAATTTGCTGCCAAGGGAAGATAGCATGATAGACGGTTAGTGACCGATTTTTTGGAACTTAGTCTAGTTTTATTGGTAATTGGTAAATTTTGCGTATGGGAATATATGTTAAATCCATGCTGCTTATTAGTTTTCTCGAAAACCGGCGCAGGAAATTTTACTTCTTGGCCAATTATTGTCTATACAACTCGATACATCTATCGATACCTTAAAGTGACTTACACTAAGTATGACCATATCTTGGATGTATATTTTGACCACGGCGAATTCTGTCAGGCGACGCCAGCTAAATAATTTTAATTAAACCAAAGGATCGATATAGCTATGGAGGCCAAATCGGAGGCACCCATATCCCCAGCCTCGACGCCGAACGCTACCGCAGTGACTGCAGAGGCAGCCAAGGAGCAAAACTGCACTAGCAATTCGCAAGGCAACTCGGTCCCCGCGGCGGGAACCGGAGCGCCACCAGCCCAGGCAACAGCTTCAGCCCAGCAACCACCCATCAAGAAGCCGAGCCCCAGCTCGCTACCCACACGCCAGTATTTGGACCAGACGGTGGCTCCCGTGCTACTCCACGGACTACAGGCTCTCGCGCGGGAACGTCCCACAGACCCTATTCAATTCCTGGCCTCCTACTTGCTGAAACACAGCAATGGATGTGAGGACAATGCCCCGGTCACCGAAGGAAACTCCTAGACATACGTAGCACGTGACCTTGCCTCTCCCTATCCCCTTCCCACTACATTCTTAAGCCAATAAAAATCTATAAATAAACGTTTAAAATTAGATATATATCGCAAACAAATCGAATTCGAACTTCTAGACGGTAATGGGGTAGCCCCAGGGATCCAGTTTCGAGTTGAGCAGCTCCAGGGAAGTGTCGGCAATCTTGGAGAGCAGCTCGGCCATCTGGTGCTTGGTGTAGACTTTGTAAAGCTGACGATGTTCGCTGGCTAATTCATCTGCCAGGCGCACACAGCCAACAAGGTCTCCGGACTTAGACATAACTTCATGAAGGAGGAGTGCGATCTCGGGCAGACAGATGGAGCGCAGCTTTTCCATCTGCAGCTGTCGATTCTCCCAATTGAGCTGCGCAGCATTTGCCGGCTCCTTAGAGATGAAGGGGTCGACTAGCCAGCCTTTTTCCGGGAACGTCAAAATGTTGTATAAAGCTTCCGTTGTCTCTGGCGAATTGGGAATAGAATCACACGATGATTGAATGGACTTTAAATTGATTGTTATGCTTACGCTTTGCCTCCTCCTTGACCTTCTGCTCCCATCTTTCCAGCTCACTGCGATAGGTCTGCTGCTTTAGCTCGCACACCAGCCGCTCCGTGAAGTTGTCCTGGCTGGTAGCCCCAATGACCACCGGCTTCTGCGGAGGATTCTTGTAAAGGCAATTCCACTCAACGAAGCTGTCGACGCCAGTGAGGTAGACCTTGTAGCAAAGATATTCCTTCAAGCTGCACTCCTCGCGAGGGGGCAGATTATCCAAGGAGCCTACAGTACCTATTAGACGGGTGACCACGTCGCCGGGCACCATCAGGAATGTTTGGCGCATGCACTCGATCTTGTTAGAAGCCAGATAAATACGCATCATGGCACATGCTTGCCAGAGAAGTTCGCTCCGCTGTTCCGGCAGAAAGATGAGCCACTCCAGAGCAGCGATCTTGAACTGGTCCGAAGCAGATATTTCTCCTGCATGCGGTTCCCCGAGATCTCCCAGTGGATACTGAGCGTGTCGTATATTTTCCACAGTAAAGCGGGTGATCTGCTCCACGTCCAGTCCCGCTTGCAATGCAGAGTCGATGGCCAGCTCTCGCGCACGTTTCTGCTCAACTTTTTCAAGGAATTGAGAGTAGAGTTTTACTTGGAGCCGGTTGGACAAGGGCGCACAATAGTAGGCAATAAGCTGGGCATCTCCACGAGCGAGCAACGCCTCTACATAGGAAGCGATGATTTTTTCAGCCATCTTTTCGTTTTCGACACGTCCAATCTGCCGCAGGAACAGAACAATGTGGGCCATAAAGCGGAGCTGGTGAGAAGACAGCTTGCTGATGTCCGTCTCTAACCAGCGCACCATTTGCTGGATCAACTCGCCACACGTGTCCAGGATGAGATGTCTCTGTATGATGCCCAAGTGGCCCTTGGCAAAGTCCTTCACAGACACATCTTTGGCTACATTCAGTTCGTCGAAAATTTGCTCCAATGTCATTTTTCCGTTCCAATAGTCCTCGGGCATGTCCTGATAACGCTTCGTGCAGTATTCTCGAATCTCCGATTCCACACGAATGTCGATTTGAACCTTGATGTGGGCCCAGAGCAGATCATGCCAATTGCTGTGTGGCAGTGCTTTTAAAGAAGTCAAGTGTCCCGAAAAGACGCCGGCTGTGGCGCGTGTGAACACGTCGTAGCGGTTCGAATCGGCCACACGCCAGGCGCACCTTTTCCACACATCGCGACGAGGGTTTCCCTCAATGGGCAGTTTCTCGTTGACCAGGGATCCGCCGAGCTCAAAGTTTGGATCCTCGTGGAGCCTCCATCCCTCCAGTATGGCAGCTTTCCACGTCTGGCCGTAGTGCTTGCACAACTTAAGGGCATCATCGATACTTCCTCTCCTGATAGCCCCGAAAATCGCGCGGCCCAACCTCATATTGTCTTCCTCGTCTAGAGCGTGCAGAGGACGATTCTCTCTCACAGGAGCATCGGGATCCAAGCTCGTGACAATTTCATGCTTTTTCCCGAACGCAACTCCCTGTAAATTCTCTAACTGGAAGAGCGTGTTCTCCCAGGCCATCATCCGGTCGTGGTAGTGAAGCAAATTCTCTGCATCCTTCCCGTCGTAGCTGGCCTCCAGCCAGTCGACAACCAGCTGGTACTCCCTCAGGGTGGAATTGATGGCATACAGCTGAGTGATTACCATTTTCTCACTGCCTCCAAGAGTGCCTCCTTCCTGCATTTCATCGTCTGCTTGGGTATCCGTCTGTACCAATATTCGATCATAGTAGATGCCATGGAGCAAGCGCCAAGTGTTGATCTCCTGCTTTAGCCAATTAATGCTGGCCGTTCTGTGCGCGGCGCCCTGCTCTCCGCCCATTCCCTCTTCAATTTCCAGCTGCAGTTGCTCCACGACCGCCTTGCACGCTAGGGACAAGCTCAGCAAAACATCGAAGGTCTCCGACTCGCTGGTGTGCGCTTGCAGGATATTAAAGAATTGGGTGAACAGGACATCCATCCGGCTCCTGCCCCGGTTCGAATCATCCGTGTCCATTAGCGTTTCACTCAATGTCGTCACATTGTTTTCGGGACGCATCGAGCGGGATAGAGTCTTCTGTAAATTAGAGCTATTCGCACTCGTTCGCAGCAATCCACTGCTACTCATTCGGAATAGGCTGTCGGCCATGGTCGGTTGCAAACTTATTTGCTGTTTGTTAAATCAAATCAACACAAAAATACACGACGATAAAATGCCGGCTCCAAATCAGTACTGCCAGTTTGGCATATTTCAAGCTAGATCTCACATTTTGAGCATTGAGTACCTAAAAAGTTTGTAGCCAAAACTACTACTATACAATATATGCATGTAATTTCAAAAGGCAGTGCCAAAAAGACGGAGAGGATAGGATGTGTTCATTTCAATAAAAAAAAACTACACCACGAAATGTATTTTTTTTTACTTGTGTTCAGTCTGTCTTATTTTTAGCTCATTTATTTTCTGCCTTAGCCACTTCTGGTATCTAGCTTATATTGTCTCGAAATTCTAACGATAGGTATCGATAAATGGGTGGTATGTTATCACTGGATGTTATTTAAAATGCTACTGAAAACATTTAATAAAAATTGAAAATCCTGAATTAAACTTAAGCTTTTTGTGGTAAACTGTAACTTAATGCACATTTGTCAGAGAGGAGTCGACAGCTGAAGTACTAAAATTTTAATTTGATTTTGGATGCTTAATTTTTAGTAATATATATATATTTATATCAGATAAACTAAAGAAATAAATTTAATTTCAGATTTAACAGCACAATACACACTATTTTTCAGTTAATTAATTGCTGGCAATCGCAAGTATGTATTGAACGGTTTAGGCAGGTGTTTAGAGGAGTGTACACGTCTGGCTTGAATGATCGTATGTCGTATGCTGTCATGCAGACGCCGTCTGAGCGTCGCTCACCTACCCAACATAAAACATTTTTCTTTTATTTGTTGTAACCATTAAGAGGACGCTTGCGACTTTAATGCTCTTCCTTTGTTTTATGCGCTGAGCGCTGCCCCTTGGCAGCGTCTGTTTGTGTACACCAAGACGAGAATTGGCCGATAAACGCGAATGAATATGCTGAAGCTCTAGAATTCAAATTACAAGAACAAACAGTTCACCTTTGCTGAACGCGCAAAAGCTGAAAAGTTGAAACATGTTAGTTATACTAAAACCAAACACGCAAGCACGAAACCTGAATAGTACCATAGTGATATAATATACAAATGTATGTATGCACGTACATGCATATGTGTGTAATTGTTTGCTAATCGTTGAAACTGGAAAATAAACATTAAACTCACCTAAGGTACGAGAGCATTGATTTTTCATCTGACGCTTCTTATTTTTGTTGTTTTTTGTTGTTGTTGCTGTTGCTACCGCTATTGCCATTGCTGTTGTTGTTCTGTTGCAGCCTTTACATACACACGACACGTCAAGATGGCCGTGCAACTGAAGCATAATTACCACCACCTGCCATTGACCATCACGCCGATCCTGTGCCAGCCAGTGCTGAAGCCGGCTCCGGTGCCACCGAAGCCGGAGGCCCCCGACCTAACGTTTCACTGTATGTGCTGCTCGGAGTACTTTGTACATCCCCTGGCCCTGTACCAGCACATGAATAGCCGCCATCCGAACGAGCCAGCACAAGAGCAGAAGCCAGGGGAGTCCCAGGAGCAGCAGGTGGAGGAGGGCGAGGACTACAGTTGGATATTCGAGCCAGTCTGCGAGCTGGAGGAACAGGAGCAGCAGTCACAGCCTGCCAGTGACGACAGCGACTCATCCGACGAGGACGACAGCGATGATGATGACAGCTCCGATGATGATGATGACGACAGCAGCTCCAGTTCCAGCTCCAGCAACTCGTCCAGCTCGACCAGCTCCATGCCCAGTTCCACCAGCAACTCCACTACCCAGCAGAGTCAGAGTCAGAGTCAAGAGCCCATGGACTCCTTAAGCAAAGGAGTTGGAGTCTCCTTCGGCGAGTTGGAGTCTGCGCACCCCATGAGGTGTCTGCTTGCCGGACCGCATCCAAACGAATTCCATCTGCAAATGGCAGATTCTCGGGAGTCCACTTCGATTATTCTACTGCAACCATCCATGAGCATCACCCCACTCAGTACGCCCGTGAGCCAGCCTCATCCGCCTCCACCGCCGCTGCCCCCGATGAGCATCTCCCTGGAGCCTGCTCCTATCAAGCGTCGGCGCGGTCGTCGCAGCAAGGCGAACAATCCCATGCTGGACTCTGCATTGGCCGCGAATCCAGCGGCGCAGAAATGCTTTCAGTGCTCCCACTGCGAGGCCAGCTTCCCCAATGCTGGCGACCTCTCCAAGCATGTGCGATCGCACATCACCAACAAGCCCTTCCAATGCTCAATTTGCCAAAAAACCTTCACCCACATCGGCAGTCTCAACACACACATCAGGATCCACAGCGGCGAAAAGCCGTACAAGTGCGAGATCTGTCCGAAGGCGTTCACCCAGTCCAGCAGTCTAATGGTCCACATGCGATCCCATGCCGTGCGCAAGCCGCATCAGTGCGTGCAGTGCGACAAGGGATTCGTGAACTACACCTCGCTCCTGCTGCATCAGAAGACGCACACAGCACCAACGGAGACCTTTGCATGTCCGGAGTGCGAGAGGGAGTTCAAGGCGGAGGCACTACTGGACGAGCACATGAGAATGCACACCCAGGAGCTGGTTTACCAGTGCGCCATTTGCCGCGAGGCCTTTCGCGTCAGCTCCGAGCTGGTTCAGCATATGAAAAATCATATGGGCGAGAAACCGTTCACCTGCTCCCTCTGCGATCGCTCCTTCACGCAGTCGGGCAGCCTCAACATACACATGCGCATACACACCGGGGAGAAGCCCTTTCAGTGCAAGCTGTGCGAAAAATGCTTCACGCAGGCCTCCAGCCTCAGCGTTCACATGAAGATCCATGCTGGCGAGAAGCCCTTTCCCTGCCACATCTGCGGCAAGTCCTACAGCCAGCAGGCATATCTGAATAAGCACATCCAGAGCCACAATCGAGCAGACAGTGTCCCAGGAGTGACACCTACACCGGTGCCCATGCAGCGGCACGAGACTCTAGTGTGTATTGTCTGCGGGTCATTGCACGCCGACGCCACCGCCCTGGCCCTGCACGTGACCAGCCAGCATGCAGCTCTCTTGGACAACATTAAGCACACTGCGATGCCCACACCAGCTCCATTGGATGGCAAGTGCAGCCTGATACAGCAGCAGGCCTACATGCAGCGCGTTCAGTCGATGCTGCAGCAGATGAGCCAGCAGCAGCAGCAACTGCCAGCCATGGACTCCACTGGCGAGGACGAGGAGGATCCCGAAGAGGAGGAAGATCTTGAAGAGGAGGAGGAGGAGTCGCTGCCAGAGGCCGATGATTGCGAGCCCAGTGTTTCTGCTTCCGAGCAGGAGACCGTAATGGACTCGGACATGTATTACGAGGAGTTTGCCGACATGGACGTGGGCTGCCAGGAGGAGGTGTGCGGCGACTATGTCGATAATGAGGAAGAGGTCTGCACGGAGGAGTTCATTTAAATTTAAGGAGCTTACGTTTTGGCCATCGACCATAAATAATTGTCCCGCATATTTACACAAGGAATGTGGATCGGTTCCCGAATGCTCAGCAGATCTTCTCAACTTTTGGGATTGGATTCGATGATATTCTCGAACCGTTTGCATTCCATGCCTTATCACCGTTTGCTCATCATTATCTTGTATCCTTTAGTAGAGTCGTTATTTATTTTAATTTACCAGAAACTTGTTCTATGTCTAGTAGTACAACATCTCATGTTTCTCCATCACACCCCTGGTAGCAGGTACCACTTCTCATATAAAATAAGAATTATATTATCCAGAGTCTAGAACACTCTTGGAACGGATGCATTGTTTTGCACATTATCTTCTAAAGGTATTAAATTTACATTTTGTTAGTATTAAGACTACTCGTATTTTAAGCTGGTCATTTAGTCGCCTAAATGATATTCCCAATTACCGATTCCCACGTTGAGGCAAGGCACAAACTGCAAGCCTCGACAATTCCACTCTGCATAATTCCCAATATACATACATATATTGTAAAGTCGCCTTAGAGCACACCCTGAAGAGATTACATTAATCGTTACTAAAAAGCAAACCAGTCAAACGAATTTTAATGTGTTCGCACGCCAGAACCAGTCGTCCCAGATCATTCAAATCCAGCGTTGGATCGGTTGGGGCCAAGTCGGAGGATCCAGTAGGCGTACAGTGCTTACTTGCAGATACAGTACTATTACGTTTGGAAATATTCAGGACTGGTAATCTTTCAATCCCATTTGAATTGTGTGTTTAAGGTTTTCAGCTGTTGGCGAACTGCCAACTTGTTGGAAACTGCGATAGTATCAAACTCTGCGATACTATCAATAGTTGGCGGCAGATATCGGAAATTGAAATGCCGCCGTTTGGACAGTTCGAATTATATCACTTGTTTTTGTGTTGAATAAAAAACTCCAGAATTGTGTGTCTAAAGCATCAAATTTTTATTGTAAACTTTTCATTTGCGTTTTATAAATATGTTCCTTTAGCTTTCCTTATAGTGTGCCTTATATGTCTTATAGCGTGCGTACTCGCACGAGAGTATGGGTGTGCTTTAATGGATAACTTTAAAATGAGAATTGGGTGTGTGATTAAGTTTATGCTCGAATGTTTTAATGCTAAGGGTGCCTAGAATGTTATGCTTGTGTTATGTGTAGCACCTAAATGGAAATATGCGATGATTAAGTGTTTTAATAGTATGCAAGTAGCATTTTATAGAGGAGTTTCTAATACTTTTCAGATCTTATTCTGATAGAGAGAAGAAGTGGCATATTGTGTGTGTTGATTTCCAGCTAAAACTGAATATGTGCTTAAAATTGTTTCGTAATTATGCACTACAAATTCCCCAAATTACCCCCTGGCCATATTGAGCACATTTAAAATACTTTTACGTTAGTTTTTGATTGATGGGGAATTACTAGAAACTACTACAAATGTGTATGTAGGTGTACTCGTGGAGCGAAGAAGTGTCTAGTCAATGCTTTATCAAGGGTATTTACAAATTGTAGGGTATTGCTTATGCATTCGAGTTTATTGTTTATGCTGTGATTGGGGCTGTTCCTTCAATATTTATTTACAATTATGGAAATGGTTTCGTGTCATTTTGTTTTAAAATGTGGCTATCAGCTATCGACCTTGATCTTTGGATCTCTGGGTCTCTGGATTTCGAAAACACAAATCGGTTCTACTAAAGTTACAATACTAACCCTTACAGAACCGCTTTAGTTCCGAAATCAGTTATCTCAGGAAAAGAAAAAGTTGTGATTAAAATTCCTTTTTGCCAGGCTTTACTGTACTCTTCTGCACTCAATAACTGTTTGTATTTGCTTTAGCGACTCAGCACACAAGCTTTCCCCACTCCACGTTTTGGCAGTGAACCTGAGCTTACATCTTTGTCTTGGGGATCGACTACGTCACAAGAACCGAGCCGGCGCTCTCCCAACTTTTTGTTTTTTCTTTGTTTTTGTATTTAATATATAATAGATACACGATTTAATGGTACTTTAATCGATTAAAATAAGCACATACAGGCGAATTTAGCGAACAACCAGAGTGTCGGTGAGCCCCGATCTCGCGAAGGGGATGATCTTTCTTCAAGAATGGAGCACAAAATTCTTAACTTCACTAAACATGCTTAACATTCGTTTTTGCTTTCAGGCCAGTTCATGTTTGGTTATGTTTTTTATTTAAACAATCATGTCTCATCACAAAATTGATGAATTCACGTTCATAGGCTTAGGGCTAGCGATCTGGCTTTCGTAATCGGTGACTTAAATTAGAAACACAACTTTGAATTAGTCAGCGAAAAGATCCGAACTATCAACTAAGGTAAACAGAACACAGAACCCAGAAATTATGGGGAAAAGTTCCGGATGGGTTAAACTAAAGATTTGTAACTGAATTCCTTGTTCTTTGATTTTCGGGCTAAACTTAGGGTCCTAATTATTTATTGTTGCACATTGTCTGCATATTGTATGTGTAGTTCTGCTGAATGATCGAGGGTCTGGAGATTTACAGTGTCTTTGCGCGATCCAGCAGGTCGCTGATGAACTTCGATATGTCCGATTGCGGGCGTTTGCAGACTGATAATAACCTCTGCGAAAGGAGACCACCACAAAATACATAAGCATCAGAGAGATATCTGGATAGTCGCTGTAAGGTCTACTCACTATAAGATGAGATCTCCTTATGTCATCTGTGTCCATGTCCAATATCTCGTCAATGTCCACATCAATGGCCTCGCTCTGGGGTCAGAAGTTAGATGTTATTCACAGAAAATACGACCTTGTGCTAGTCCTTGAATGCTTACCGGCGGATCGAAGAGCTTCTGCAACTCGTCGTAGAGCCACATCTCCACAGCGAGGCGCTTGCGGATGAGGCTCATCTGGTGTGATCCGTATTTGGCTGTGAGGAACTTCTCCCTGCGCTCCTTCACCTCGGCCCCCTTCTCGTTGAAGTTGACGCGTAGATTGGTCCGGTTGGGGGATCGCTCGCAGTCGTTCATCTCTAGGCCGCACTGCATTTTTCTATCGATTCACGGATACAAGCTTCGTTTATTGAACCTTAATTAATTGGCGCTGCCTGTAATTGAGGAAAACAGTTGGAAGATCGGGCGAGACAAGTGGTTAGACAATGGTTGCTTCGATGGATGATTGTTTCAAATTGAATCAAACTTAACAGTCTGCAACAGTGTGGGGCCCACCACCAGAGTTCAACATTCATGCGTCACACCCGTTTCTCTTCCACAAGAGCTCAGACTCGGCCATCGGCCATCGGCTTATGGATGCGAAGACGGCTGAGACTGGGCCTGGGACCCGTTTCTGGGCCTAAAGGCATTCTCAAAATACCCGCATCCGTGAGTCATGGGTCTGATTCATGCATTCCACTATACATTAAACATTTGTGTACTGTACTTTATCTATGCCCAGGAATTACGATGACATGCGAACAGGAATAATTGCTCACATGTCACGGCTTTGTCCTATTTCAAAGTGTACATATATTCACCCTCGTTGTCGCATACATACATAGGTCTGCATGTACATATATATTTAACAGTTTAACAGTTAATTTAATTAACGTGTAACGTATGGTTCTCTGATTTCTGACATTTGACTTCTGTGTGTGTACGTAGAGTATTGTATGTGCGAGTCTGTATGCTGTAACTGACAGCACCCGCTCATAGCAAATTTAATTAGTGAACACCAAAAAAACCACAATAAAATCCAACCTATCAATTCGAGATTGGGCTAGGGATATTCAGTACCAAAACAGATCCGAGTATTTTCTCAATTGATTCTCCCTTTGTACACATATACAGATATGTGTATATGGTAGTTAATTCAAACAATTGACAACTTCAATTGAAGAGGAACTGGCCCACAATCACCATCAAGCTCATACAACACAGAAGATACATGTTTAAATCTTTAGAATATTTATGGTTTAAATTTAAACCTCTGCGTAAGATCCATGCTAAGAAGGAACATAATATTTATGCAATGTGTTAGCTTTGAGAGGAGACTATTTTTCTCGCTTATATTTCACTTCAAAAACCCCCCACTAAAATGATTATCCGCTGCACATAAGTACATATGCTCTTCCAATTTCCGCCGCTTATTATTTATAAATATTTTCATTTCAGGCCACATTTGTCGCCTTTCAGCCGCACGAGAAAGGTAAAATAAAGGTCAACCCCCTCAAACGTCGATAGACACAGGCGCCAGGCACAGGAGGGCTTGGTTAACGCGCCACCTGACGCACATTCGTATTCCTGCCCCCACTTGCCGCCCCACAGGCCGAAATCAGAGCCTTCGAATTTCCCGTTTGGCACACAAAAGTCTTAACCAAGTTACTCCACTTTCGCTTTCATCTCAAACTAGCCCGAAATGGTCGACTTGTCGAGTGTTGACATAGTTTTCGTGCCTCTGTTTTGTGTTTTCGCATGGTTTTTGAGGTATTTGGAAATGGCAGGCAAGCAGGAGCAGCTGTGGCCGAGCATCGGCTGAGATCTTTCCGCATTCACCGCTAAAAATAGAGAAACAATGCCCCGAACTTCTCCGCTGACGCTATCTTTTCGCACAGTGGAATATTCCGGCCCGTGCGAAATCTGATGCGGGGCTTGCTTAAGTAATCCCAAGAAGTCATGAGCCATTATGAAACGGACGTTTATTTTGTCACTCACATGTCAAGCCGACTGGAAGCGAGAAGGAGTGCGTATCCAAGCGGATTGCAGGGGGGGCTATGCATGTAATGTGAGATTTCCCTTCGGGGAGCTCCGCGTGCAGTTCGTTTTTGCCAAGGCTTTGCTATGCAAATTGTTCTAAATGAAGCTAATTGTGTGGATCCGTCTGGCCTACTACCTGTAAGAGTGTATCCAAGGCTACCAGACTTAGGGGTATCCAGGACTCACTGATAATTTCAGAAATACTATACACAGGTTTCAATTCATATTCAAATAGAAATATGTGTGGGAAATGTTTCAAATAAATGGGACTGTTCCTGAGAAAGTGCGTTTCTAGAGAAAATAGGGTATCGTATCTCTCTTAAAATCTCTCCCACAACGCTTAGCTCTCAAATGGCTGGGAGCGGCAACGTTAACTGTGGGATCTAGTAAATTATGTTGATATCTGAGGAATTTCCACAGATTTTCCCAAACTCTGAAGAAACGAGAGCAAAAACTATTTGACCGAAGATTATCAAGTACGAGATGGTGGGGATGGGATGAGGCTGAGGTGGGCGGAATATAAAGGTAAATTACATGAGTACCCTTATTATTATTGCTTGCCACATCTGACGCTGACGCTGGGGCTGGGGCTTTGCATAAGTATTATGTTGAAATGGCTCCAGCAATGCGGCCGTAACATGCAACATGTTGCATGTTCAGCGGCCAGAAAAACAACAACAAGCTACACATAGTATATGTACATATATAAGGTAGCTGCGAATAAAATTGTATCAGCAGAGGCCCAACCACGGCACAGCGTGGCAGAAACTTCCGGAAACGGTGGCAAATATTTCCCACATGTGGCAGGGGCCTGGGCCTGGGCTGGCTACCGATTTGACTTATGCAATTCTTTTCCTTTCTATTTCTTTTGTTTGTGAAAGGAAATTAGAGCCACTGGACAGAACGACCAGCCAAACCCGAGCCCGAGCCCGAACCCATTCCTGTTGCATGCGACTGCAATTTTCTGAATAGTCTCATGCATTTCAAATTGATTCGATTGGAACAAAACCCATGGCTGATGGCGTATCGATCCGCGGCTAGTATTAAAAATGTAAATTGGCATCTGTCCAAATACCCAAACCCTCCGACTTGGCCTCTAACCAGCCCGCCCACACATCCAACTGAAACGTCAACGTTAATATTTAAGTGATGGCTGCAGCCTAGGACATGGCATGGGATATCAAATGAACCTTAACAGTCTATCAGACGGGCATAAAATAGGGACCCTTTCGCGGGCCGTCGAATCTAATCCAGAACAAAATCAATCCAGAAACAACAGCTGCAACGTGGACAGCCTACCTTCCCGGCTATTCCAATGGTTTCATTGATCTATATCTAGTATTATTGAAAATGGCATTATACATTGGGTATGGCTACACAGATATGACTTTTTTTGCATTTTTGAGGATGCATTTGATGAACTAGAACTATAATTATAATCGGATCAAGTTCGAATCGAAACAATCTTAATGGTTTCACTGTGGAATGCCACATAAATGCAAATGTAAATCGCAGCCATAAATGTAGCCATTCCGCAAAGACCTTTTAGGAATCAGTCGATTTGAGGCCCCCCAAAATGGAAATTGCGTTTTTGGGCAGGCGCCAAACGCTGAGTGCAGAAAATTCATGCTAATTTCAAGGTAATTATAGGTATTAATTATACATCAGACGGCATTTTAGACACTTGCCCAACACGCAATTCGAAATTGAGTCAGAAAACACGAATATCAAACTGAATTTTGAATGAATACCCAAAAGTGGGTACGAGTAATGATTTGGCCAACTTTTCACATTACTTTCCGATTATGGTGTGAATTGAGACATTCTAGAAGGTCAGACCACTGCGTAATTCAGACTGCGGCTCAATTTTCTTTCAGAGCTAACCCTAATTTGCATTTATAAGAGCACGAATGAGCCAGAAAAGTAAGGAGAAGACACCAAATCCAAAAAATCCAGTTCATCGGGTCGGACCCAAACTAAGCATGGCATTAACCTACATATCGATACTGATTATATCTGTGAATCGGCTTTTGCGTTCTTCTCGGAGATTCATTCAAGCCGAAATTTTCACATACCGCACCATAATCGGGGAGAGGGAAAAGTGAAATGTGACGCTTTTATGCTTAAAAGCCTACGAAATAAAACTAACAAAGAGCCAGCGTTTGTTTATGCAAATGCTCCATGGCCCAAAGCCGCTGCTCGCGGCTTGTAAAACTCCATAAAAGATATGAGAAAAGTCTGTCCAGACCTGAAATCCAGTTTAGAAATATTTTCTATAGAAGAAACGTTAAAAACTTCCACTGATATTGTAGAGAAGTTCCATGACATCAGCCTTGGTGTACCGATATTGGCTTACACCATAAATATATTGCTCATCAATCGCGCTATTCAACTGGCGGCTTATCAGCCAAGCTACAATAAACAAAAACCCATTATTTGAGTTACAGCCTCATTTAAATAAATCGAGGCATTACAGAGGCAGCTACTGATAACCCGCAGATGAAGCTGATTCATGCAATCTTGAAGTATAGTCAGTCGGGGGAGAACCAACTGAACAACACGGCCAATTAACATACATATTTCCCTTGTGGTTGTTTTTTATAAACCTACTAGACTAGTGATTGATTGGAGAGGTTTGATTCTATGCCCCGCTAAACACGCGCCTGTCACTCGATCAGCCTGAAGAGCTGTTCGGACATTGATAGGTCGTTAATTTCCTTAGAACCTATCTCTGAAAAAAGCCACATCACAAATTAGCCAAAAACCAGGCGCTGATAAATGGATCCATATCTATACAGATAAGGATATGTACAACGATATAGATTCCATATACATATGTACGCTGTATGATTTATCAGCTAATTTTTTGATCTTTCAGTATTTACCTATGTACGAATGTACGTATACCACCATTAAATAAAAAGCTGATCCAGAAACCATTCAATAATTATTATGGGGAAAAAACAAAGCCCTGCAAGTTCTCGGGTTCCCAGCTGGGCAATCACCTCATCGCCTCATTTTGGAGGGAGTAGACTTTTGCGGGATAATATTCAAAAGTTAATTTGGCTTATTGCTTATTCATTTTGGTCAGCCTCCTTTCAGGGTTTTTTTCTCTGTAGATCCGAAAAGGGGTTAAAGACAAGGAAAAAACAAAAGACCATCACATAAACTGCTCTAAGAGGCAACGTTATGGATAAATAATTGCCAGAGAAAACACCTACGATATCCACGAAGATGCGAAGAAGTCAAGTAGCCGGGCCGAGCCGGCCATTAGGTAGGCAGCCAAGTAGCCAGACAGCGGTTGTTGACCTTACAAGTGCCAGAGTCAGAGTCAGAGGCAGAGACGGGGCCAAGAGATGGGCATATTCAAAATGCTTACTGGGCAACTGCCAAAAGCGAGTTGTCATGGAAATGTTATACGGGTACCCGCGTACCCGCAAAGTTGAGCAAAAAGCTTTTCCTAGACAAATTACCTTCGGTAAATGTTGGCCGACTCCGGCCAAGAGTTCTTGGTACTCGAAGTCTGGGTAAACTCTGTCGGCCTACGGCATACTTGCTTTTGCCGTGCTTTTCGGGGCGGAAAAAATCAAATAAAATACACTGGACCAAACTGTTTTTCCAGGCATTGTGCAATATTTGCTGGCTAATTTATTGTTTGCGCAATGTTTGTGTCGTTCTTGGCTCTCTGGGAGGTTGCGTCATGGAGGCTGTGAGAACGCTCGGCTAGGTGTGAGAATTCTCGTTGACTGATGGGCGCGAGTGGAATAAAAGTTTTGGCGTTTATAAATAGATGGAATTTGTCATTGAGTCCAACGCACTGACCGATATTTTGCAACGCGACAAGAAAAGCGGAATTCTCTGTGGGATCTAATAGGGGAATTGCACAACAGACACTCGTCCCATAGCCCACTAGCAGATAATAGACTTAAGCAGAATAACAAAACATATTTTGCCGACTAAAACGGAAATGTATTTCAAGTAATCTGTATATTGGAATTTGATAATGCAAAAGTTTTCCACATTAAGATATCGTTCCATTTCCGGTTTCTGTGGGATGGGAAATCAATTTGTTTTTTCACTCCAGCTGTGCGCCATTTGAGCCAAGTCCCATTTTTGGCCACGAAACTGCCAAACTCGACATTGGGGAAGTCAAAACATGTCCCCAAAAAATTATGTGATGGAAAGGAGCAATCATCAAATGAACATGAACATTCCCATGTCCCTGCGTGTCAATAGATAAAAATCTATAAATAACCAGAGCTATGATAAATCCACCACTAGGCACAATAGAAACACGCCACAGGCAGGTGGATGGGTGAAATCACGAGGACTGGAGGTCCCACTGCTTATTCCCTCGTTGTGAACTTATTTATGATTGCCAGGAATTACATACATGCCTCGTACATAACACAGACCTCGTATAACAGCGATTCTGGACAACGCAGAAAGATTGAACGAGCAGCGAGCATTGACACCAGGCTCCCTCCCCCTCTATCGGTACAAGTACTGCATGCAGACATACTCTGTACATATACTATGTATAAATTGTGTTTACAACTGCAGTTTTATAGCTGCAGACAGCCTCTGTGCATGTCCACGTTCATTGCCAGCTGTCGGCACTGGGTTAGAGTTCAATGAAATGTGCTCTCTATAGTGATTCATAATGGTTTACACATACTTAACTTATTTTCAGAAAATTTCTAGAAAGAAAGCATTCCTTTGAGGAAGAAAAGACGCCCGAAAATTGTGCATATTTTTTGAATAGCATATAGCAAAACATACGACTATGTACTCCTCTAATTCCTCTATGTTCCTCCTCTAATTGTGCATTAATAGTAATTCAAATTGGCTTTTTCAGCCACTCAAGGTAACAATCATTTATCAGCATTAGTTTCAGAAATAAATCAATTTATTCCAATGGCTCGAAGTGCATATCAAATTGGACACTCCCAGCAACTTCAATCACAAAGAACCCGGCCAAAATATCTGCATCTCTCTTCTTACCTGCCAATCATACAAGTCGTCCGTTACTCTTCATTTTTGAACGAGCATATACATAATACTCGAAGACTTCCGTTGGCAGATACAACTCCGTGTCTGCAGATAGCATTAATGCCAAACACGTCGTCTTCTACCTAAAAAACCCAGAACCCCGAAACCCGTCAAGAGAACAGAGCGAACACACAACGAAAATTGCTTATTAATCTGTTTGACGAAATCGCCAGAAAGAGACATTTAGGAAGTTACGTTTGCTTTTTGGATGATGTTTTTCGCTCGAATTCGTCTTGTTTGTTTTTCGTAGGCTATTTCTGGCCTCCACAGGATGTTTTTGAATGTTCAAAGCGTTAATGTTTGGATTCAGACATTATTTATGACCGTTTAACCATTTGTTAGGTTCAAGTTCAAAGCATCATCTATTCTCGAAATGGGGAAACTTCTTGTGGAGGCCTTCAGGGCAGACCCGAAGAACACAAGGCGTTTATCTGAATCGGCCAATCAGTATCAGCCAGCTGGATTTCAACAAGTAAACGTATAAATAAAGCTGTATCTTTAAATTGATTTCGGGAATGTCTCGAGTCGAGTCGAGTCGGGCCGAACAATAGAACCACAGATGAGGTCAAAGCCGATGGCGAGGGGGTACAGACTCCCAGAGATACGCCCGCAGAACGTGCGTTAGGCGCTTAATATACTCGTACGTATCTCTATCTCTATCTCTATCGGTGTCTGTATCTGTTTGTGAATCGCTGCAGCTGCAACATTGACCCCTTGTTCCCGGCCCCACAGCACTCAGCACCCTGTAAACATATCGATTGAGAAGACAAAGGCAAAAAAGAGAAATATGCAAACATGTCAGAATCAAGCGTCGTGTGTCCAATACTCAATGTATCTCGTATCTGTACGTATCTGTATCTTGTGCGACTTGTGTTTTTGCTGGCACTGCACAGTGATTAGACACAAGCGGCGCAAAATGTTATGACTGCGAATAAAACCAGGTTACAAAACACAGCAGACACAACACGAAGAAACCACAGCTGTCGACATACTTGGGCGAAAATTTCGTTAAGGAGTACGCGTATGTACACATATATCTAGATACATACATATATGTATGTGTGTGGCATCGCAAAGCGAGTCTGCGACTGATAAAAAGTCAATTAAACAGAATTACACACTCGTTCAAGCTGCTTCTCTTCCCAGAAGATGTTACCAAGGTACGACAAAGGATGTTCCTTCAGCGAATAGCTTGTACTCTACAGCCGGTCTTCACTCTGCCCCTTCCTCCTACGAGTATTTCAATATCTTCGGACATTGCTGCATTTGATTTTCTGGCCAACACGGAATCTCCGTCTGGCCAATGCTAATAGCAATTGAAGCATGTTCTGCCCCAGCCCCAGCCCCCGCCCCGCGGCTGAGACCTGGGGAGTGGAAGCGTGAAGCGCAGTTGCGTTTCGTTACGTTCCGCTGAGTGCGTGGCCAGAAGCGGCAACAGCAACAGCAACAGCAGCCGCCGCCGCACAGACCACCCTTCGCTGCCAATAAAAGTCCCACATATGAAGTTGTAAATATCGTAGAAAAACAGAAAATAAAAACGTTAATAATAAACGAGGCAGCAACCACTGCATAAAATTCCACAGCTCAACACGCACACACCGCCGGCTGCTGGCTGCTGTCTGCTTTCTGCTGGCGGCTTAGGCCTCTGTGCCTCAATGTTTGGACGGGATGGGATGGGACCTGAGACTGGGACTGGGATAAAGCAGGTGGCTGCGACAAGCACGCTTCTCCTGGACGCTTGACCGGCTGAGATCCACTCGACTGGCCAGCCAACCAGGCAGACTCGTGGACGAGTACGAGTATGAGCAGAACAAAAAAAGGTATAGCTATTTTCCGGTTCTCGTCTGGCAGCACAGCCTCTGTGGAGCAGGGAAATTTGTATAATTGTACCACATTTTCCAAAGTTTATTCTACCGATAAGCACATATACGCCACAATTCGGGATATTAAAGCACAAATATTCGCTAATATGATAATAAAATTTACGTTTTGGCAATGCTCCAGCGATCGTTATGGCCTAGTCTATTTTGAAATTCGATTGAATTGCTGTTTTCAATTTTCATCAGTCAGAAATTTCACTTGAGGAGATCTTTACTTTGTTTTCTTCTGCCGCTGTAGCCGCTGCCGCTTTAGGCTTTTCCACTTTTCCGCTGTTGCGACTTTCTGCTCAATGAAATTTTCATTTGCACCAGAGCACAATGAGGGCGACCGTGTGGCAGCAACAAAACGCAAGTAGCGAGCAGCAAGCACTCACACACACTCACACGCGGGACGCAGAGAGTTTGTCTAACTGTTTGTTTATGAGGCGGCGAGCGTGGAGCTCGGGAGCTTTCGGAACGGAGGTGGCAGTTCAAGTGTAGCGCGCGCGGCCGGTGGTGAAAGACTAAAACTGCAAACGGAAAAGTATCTGGCGGATACACACGAAAGACAGCTGCCCAACATCGCTGCGAGAGTAACAGCGCGCGAGAGAACCAGAAAGCTCGCTGCTCGGGGCGACTGCCGGCGTTCAGTGGGCCGAACGCGCTGAGTGGAGGGCCGACCGTGGAGCGATTAATGATGAGTGGAGCGTGGCTAGTAGAAGCGGATGACCGGCCCACATGATGGGCTCCGATGGTTCTACTGGATAGCTTCTGACATACATATAATTCGATTCTCTCGCTTTTTTTTTTTTTTTTTTTTGGGTTTAATGGTTTCGGTAGACAAAGTAAAGCAGGGAGGCTTGGGGGACTCGAGATCTGTAGATTTATTGACTTGCCAATCAGCTTTGGTAACACACGTTGATTTTCACAGCCACCTTCCACAATGCTGTCTTCGCCGGGAGCTCGTGTGAAGTCCGGCCTCAATAAAATTTGGTCTTGGGGTCTTGGGACCAACTAGAAATAAATAAATAGATGAGTTGCTCTATGAGAAATTAAAAAATAATAAATGAAACACATAACAGCATTCGAAAGTTCCCTATTTATAAAGAAGTCTTACTTAATTTTAACAATTTGGAGTGGGGATGCGGTATTACTAGCCGGAAACGACCCAAGGCCTCGTGTTGTCGCTGCGAATGCACCGCCAGAGTTATTCCCAGTGATTTCGATTATAGCCCCGACCCCCCAGCTGGACGCTGAAGTATCCGTACTAATATCCCCTTACTAATAAGCAAGGGGTTTTAAGAACAATACGATCTGGTGCAGGACAAATCTAAGCTAAGGTTCGGCGAAATTCTATACAATCTCTGCCCATGTGCTTCTATATAAGGGGGAAGTTATCGCAGGCAACGAAGATTGTGTTCTATACTAAGATTTGTTGGTTCCTTCCATTCAACCTGAGTTCTACCTCATTTTGAATATATCCTTTATTGGATGCGGGAATGTGGAGGGCTAGAAGCTCAGTGCACTGCGAGTGCGAGTGACCGTAAACTTGAAAACAGAACAGAGAGTGCTTCCGACAGCAGCCAGCAGCAGAGAGAGCAACAGCAGCAGGAGAGTAAACACCCTAACAGCGGCGGAGCGCACAAGTGCACTGTTAGCCAACATTCAGCTGTCAATTAAGCTCTCGGAGGGGATTGGAGGGGGAGTGGATCCATCTAGATGTGACAGGCGTCTGTCAGAGAGGGAAAAAGTTAAGTTGAACAAGAAACATTTAAGAAAATCAATAAATAAATATTTGAGAAGCAGAGCGGATGTTGGGCTTTGACAATGTCTCGGGCAGAACACGTTACCGTCTTAATTACCTTTCTAAGACGCTTCGTTACAACTCTTTCACTTTAAATTTAATATCTAATTCAACCTCTTTTTATTATGAACTCTTTATGGTTTATTGAGTAGCCATATAATCCTACAACCTGCAAAAACAATGATGAACTGCGAAAAGCCTCTGACCCTTTTCATGCGTTCGCCTGCGTTCGGGATTGGCTTTGGCCAAATCATTGAACTCTGGCTGCTGCCAAGTTCAAGAGTTCATCTGGAGACACCATCAGCATCTATCTGCACACACCCTATCCCTATCCCCACCAAAGTCAATTTCTTATGCTCTCAGCCATGTTTATGGCCCCTTGTTGCGCATTTATTGTGTGGTTAAGCAGTCTCTGCTCCCGCCGTCCCCCGTAATATCTGACACTTGAGGGTTCCTTGACGCTTTGCCTTTGGTACGAAAAATTCGCCTTTATGCTAACCATTAATTCAATTTGGGCAACCCCCAGGCCCCCGCTCGTCTGTCTAGGCCAATTCCCCTTCCCCGGCGGCAATGGCAATAGCTCCAAGAATTGGTTCGGCAGTCGCGACGCTGTCTGAGCATTTGAAAGTTTTCTTCTCTTTTATTTTATTTTTATTTTTTCATATAATTAATGACTTCTTGTGCCAACAGTTCATCAGTGCAGAGTTTTTTTTTCAGGGGCTTGGCTAAACGCCTGTTTGGACCAAGGTGTGAGAGAAGTGTGTTCGGCATCACTCCTAATGAAGAAAGGTTATTATGCCTTTGTTCTGCATCTAGGAATACGAGATTACACAGAAATATATTAAATGAAAAACTAGTATTAGTATTCCCACATGGATCATATTTTGAACAATGCCCAGAACAAGGAATTCCCTTCTAAGTGTATCTGATCTGCTTAGTAGAGGTTGCTCTACGGATGATCGGGCTGCTGTTGCTGCTTTCTGTTCTGCCCAACGGCTCTTCCAAGGTCTTTCCTTACCTTTATTATGCAAATGAGCCCAACTTTTATGCTTCTTTCTTTCAATAAACTTGACTATTGCTTTTTTAATTAAAGTTACTGTTGGTCAGCGAGTCTTAGGCCAAACTTAGGCCCGGCCCAATGGGCAGTTTAAGGCCAGGCAGAGGCAAGTGTCGCATGAAATGTAAAGGGATTTCGTTTGGTTCGGTTCCCAACTCCGAGTTGAAAACATTTCGTTTCCATAAATAAAAATGCTTGCTTCAGAGCCTCCCTTAGTGTAACCTCAACTGATGTATCTTCTTTGTGGATTTGTTGTGCTTTTGGCTTTGCTTTGGTTTTGGTAGGGAGAAGCCGCAGCATTCATTCATTCAGAGTGTTTGTCGTTGAGCTTTTTGGTACCATATAAATGAGCGGCTTGGATGAATTAAGCCAAAGAAGAAATATACATTTTCTGGCTACAAAAATAGAACAAGTTCTGTAGAGGCAAGGCCGAAACCAACCACGAGACGAGTCTGACTGAGAACACACCTGGCAACGGAGGGCGAGGGCTCCAACTGTCAGTCAGTCACATCCACATCCATCCCAGACGCCATTCTCCTCCATATTCCCGCTCACTCCTCTCCTCCTTGTGGTGCGTCTGGTAGAATTTCCATTTCGTTAAATGGAGAAAAATTTACGAGCTTTTTGAGGTTGCACGTGCACATGTCCTTTTTGTCCGAAATGCTTTACGAGTCCTGTCAGGTGGCTGGTGGGGCGGGGGCTTACGATGGGGATTCTATAAATTTCTTTCTTCTGTCCCCTCTTCAATGTTATTGAACTTTCGACGCGGCCGCGGCGTCTCGACGTCTGTGGCATGGCCGTATAAGTTTCTCGTAGGGCGCGGATAAATTTTAGGCGGCTCAAACTTTAACAGGGAGATGGGAGGATATATGTATGTAATCTGCTTTTTTCTGGATATCTAAAATATGGCCTTTAAAAAGTTGGAAAGAACTCAGCAATTTCAAAAATCATTTCATAGGGCATAGCTTGTAAAATATTTATGTGCAGCACACAAATACTTACAATATGTATGTAGAATGTACTTGTAGGGAATGTATGGAGACAATGCACTGTACATTTGTTTGTGTCAATAACCCTCATTCAAGGAAAGGCGCAAACTCCCACAAGTCATGCAAACTCATGAACTTTTCTGGGAAAAATGTCGAGACATGGAACAAATTCTCGAAATAGTTGTGTGGCCAGACAGAAACTTTTCTTCGCTTCGAAACATTCTCCTCTAAAGTGCAGAACAGTACCGATTCAACGGACCATCGATGGTTGCTCGCTCGAAGAGCAGTGCCATAAGGGAATACAGTTGGGTGCTAAAAATAAATGCAAATCACTTTTTAGGTGGATGTAATCACCGTCCAAACACCCCTAATGTGCCACGCCCTCCGCCACCCCAGGCCCCCCACTCCGCCCTGCTTCTTTGTCCTTCATTAAAAGCATTACCATGGCCAGGGGCAGGGAGCAAAACAGAGCCTGCACTGAAGATGCAATTTAAGCGGCGCTGCTGTGATACCCCCTAAACAAATCTCCTGCAGGGGTAGCAAGGGTACACGCGGTACACCATAAAATATAGCCATCAAAGAAGAGGGTGCTGGAGATTCATCTACAGGAAGAAATAGTACATCCAACTTGAGGGTACGAAAAGGTCGCAATGGTAATGACGGCAGCCTGTGCATGGTAAAATGCACAAATGTATGTGTGCACTCTTGCAACAGCACGGACAAAGTGGATATGTGAAAGCGCTTACAGTGCATCCTCGAAGGGATGAGCTGGAAATGCGATCGAAGCAAGGAAGAGTTCTAAGATCCAATATAGACTTTAGGAAAAGTTCAATTTCAATTTGTAAATACAGACATCCCAAACTATCACTCGACCGAATAAGCCTGGACTTAATTGGGTCTCTCGTTCAAGTGCGCACTGTACGGGTATATAAGGGGCGTTTCTCACACGCCCTCTTGACTAGCTAGGGTGACGCGGCTCCGAGAAGTATGCAATGAAGCCCATTTTTTTGTTGTTGCTACCAGACTCCAGTGTTTTGCCCACTTTATGGCTCCAAATGCTTTTTTCTCCGCTCCCTCTGCCACCGCTTTTCCTAACGGGGGTTGGCACTGCCCCTGGCGCTGGGTGCTCGCTGTTTTTGCATTTGCCTTTCTTGGGCTTTTGTGCAATGCTCGCTCGGGTGTTTTTAATAGGCAACGGGGTGCACGTGCATGGCGGTGTGCGCGATTGTGGCAGACACTCTTTATTTTCATTAACATTTTCAAGTTCCCGTTGACCGCTTTAAAGATACCAGGAGACCCTGCGCATGCGCCGGCTTTGCCCAGAGAGCAAAGCACTGAGAGTGCACTGTCAAGCTGTGCAGATGAGAGGTCCCGGATATATAGTTGCAATGATAGTCTAGGACTCGATTTAAATCTATTAAAAGGCCCCCCTGGAGATGGGTTTGATAAATGCTCTAGGACTAGCCAAAGATAGCCATATGGTGCCATCTTTGTAATGGCTTTAATGGGTTTATAGTATAGCATGAAATATATCCATCCCCGCCATTAGTCCTCACCTCACCCTTAACCAATGCTCGATTATTAAAGACTCCCTCCAGGAAAAAGAACAGTCAGAGCTTTCTATCGATTTTCATTGCTGAGAAATGTTTGCCAAGCGAAAAAACTGTTTTAAAGTCAGTCCCAGAGAGAAGGGAAGAGCCGACATCCCGAATTGTCATTGTTGCGCCAAATTGGCAGGATACGGATACGTTACAAGCTCTGCAAGGTTGTGATTAAAAGCTGCACCATATGGTATGGTGACTGGAAAGGAGAGAGTGAGCTTTCCATCGTTCGGTAACGCTATAGCTTCTGTGCAAGCTCCCTCCCTCTCTTCACGGGAAAATCCACCGAAATTATCGATAAAACCCACCCCAACAGCTGTTTTCAAGCGCCCCAAAGCTTTCCTCGACTAAGGGTTGTGTTGCAGTTCACCCCGAAGGGAAAGTCAGCAATTTACTTGGGACTTTCCATTGGTTTACATTTCAGCTGAATGCAGTATTTTTGTTTCGTTTTCAAAAATCGTTTCGAAACCACAAGAAAAAAGCCACGGAAACAGTGAAGACTCGTGTAATTACTAAATTTCTGATCGTTTGAGTGTCGAGGTGGAAGCAGCTGCTAGTGAAAATCCGCGCATATTGGGCAAAACGCAAAAATCAATAAGCGAGAAATTTTGTAAACACGCCAAGCCCCCGAACAGCCTCTGCGCTCCTCCCCCTCCCCACCAGTGAACTGTGACCGCCATCCGCCCCAAAAAGAGCCATTAGCCATTGCCTGCCCCATCAGCCAGCGTGACGGTAGAAGAAACCATTGGTTTTGGTTAGCTGGCTAACCACAGCCATCATCATCATCGCTGATCATCGATCGTGGATCGGCAGTCGCTAAACGCTAATCGTCAATTGCTAATCGGGGGATCGTATCTGTTACGTTACGCCTTTCAAATGTTTTCCAATCTGCCTCTGGCTGCGCTGCTGCTCCCGCTGCCACTGCTGCTCGTCGCGGTGCAGGCAACGGAGTATGTGAATCCGCCCCAGTCCTCTCCGTTTGAGCACCGTCTGGCCAAGCGAATGGACTTGGAGGTGTGCATAGGTGAGGCGCTTAGAGGGTACAAGCCACTTAGAGACTCATTCGTCTACTTGATTCGCAGGCCACTTTGATGTCCACAAGAACACGATAATCCGCACCGGGGAGTCCCAGGCGATCGGGGGCAAGTACTTGCAGGGCCTCGAGCTGGACACCATTGAGGAGTGCGAGCGGCTGTGCTGCGAGACGGACGCCTGCGACGTGTACATCTTCGAGCGGAAAGCCGGTGGCTACTGCTACCTGTTCGAGTGCGGTCCGCCAGAGAACTTCCACTGCAAGTTCACGCGGCACGCGAACTACACGAGTGCCGTGCTGACGCCCCAGCCCCAGGCCGCGCCCGCCGACGTCGCCAGCACCCCACGACCCCAGCTGCCGCACATTCCCAGCAACAATATCTCGCAGCAGGAGTGGGAGCTCAGCAACCTCAAGCTTAAGCCGGAAGCGCGGGACAAGCCAGCGGTATCCACGGCAGCGGCTGCGACTGCAGCTGCCACTGCCTCTGCCCCCACATTGGGTGTGGCCCAGCCGGCGGTGGCCCCGGTCCAAAGTGGTTCGTTGTAGATGCTTTTACTTTCAGCAATTCAAACGAGAGACTGACATGCATTTTCCATTCTAGCTCCCATCAACCATTGTGGTCGCTTCCAGTTCACTTGCCACTCGGGCGAATGCATCGCTGTCTACAACGCCTGTGACGGCATACCCCAGTGCGAAGATGGCAGCGACGAGGGACCGGAAGTAAGTCACCAGTCGCTCCCATAGCTGCCTCCCTTTCCCTTTCACCGGAATGTGTTGAATGTGTGTTGTTTCAGTGCATTACCGTTTCGTCGCCGGTCACCAAGCCCACGAGCAGCAACCTGGATCCGGTCAAGCCCATGGTCCAGCAATACCTACCTGTTCCGCCCATTCAGCAGCAGCTGCAGGTTCCAGCTCAGCAGTTGCAGTCGCAGCCACAGACACAGCCGCAGTTGCTGTCGCCGCAACAGCAGCAACATGTTATAGTTCTGGGTCCACCGCCACCACCTCCGCCACCCCCACCGATGGTTAACAATCGCGAGGATGCCGCCGCTTGGGCCAATCGCAAGATAATAGCCGATGGGCAGCAACCACTACCTCAGCAACAGCCTCAGCAGCAAGTCCATCTGGCGCAACCCCAGGGAGAGATGTTGAATGCAGGTAAACATCGAAAGTATAGATATGGTTTAAGAGGGGGAAAAGAAGAAGAAATACTCCTATCATCTAACAATATTTAACACAATGAACATTATCGAAAAAATGGATGATAATCTCTAATTTGATAGCTCAGAATTTTCTTGTATCTTCAATTAAACCAAATCTGTTATTGAGCTCAGAACAAAGTTGGCTTCCATTCCCGCATGCAATCGGAAAAAATCGTCAATTCAATTTTACTGACTGACTGAATTTCCCCCTGGACGTGGACGTTCTGTGTAAGCGAGGAAAAATTACCAATACCACCAACTCTATTTTTCCACAAGTTTCATGCTACTACACCTCTGCTGGTAATACTCGTACTTTCTGTCTAGCCAATCAGTAGAATATTAGATACCATATGTTATGGGTCTTATCTGCACTGGTCTCGAATCTAAATAATCATCCACTCTGCGAATACTTGAAACTTTCAGTGGCGAAAATATAAGCAAACAAGAGCCCGATACAGATCATATTTAAATAAATATTCAGAAACGCTGTAAGCCGAGTTGGGTAGGGACTCTGTTCGCCGTGTGGCATTATCACACAACACAACCGCAAATTGACTTCGAAGCACACAATGAACCAAGATCTCCTACATTACCAGCCCGTTCCCCATCCTCTGCTCTGGACGCGTTGGGTTTTTTTCTGGGAAAATTGCAAAGTGCACATCGGTTTCCATTGTTTGTAATGGGAGCTAGCGTCGCACGAAATTAATTTACGAGTGAGTCTGTGTTTCTGCGGCCACTCGTAATTAATTCAATTAGCTGTGCGTAACCGGAGACACACTCTCGACTTCCTCAAAACGATTCCACTTTCTTGCAGATGAGCAGAGCCACATATTCAGTCATAAAGGGGGGCTCCAGTTGCAGCAGGCGACGAGTGGCCAGGCACAGGGGCAGGTTCAGGTTCAGGGGCACTCAGCACAGCTCCAATTGCCCGGCTACGACAATAATCAAGCTCTGGCGGCTGGCCCTTTGTATGGGATGTCACTCCCGCGCTCCGGAATGTATTTGTCGCCGCCGCAGCAACAGCAACTGCCACAGCAAGCATCCCCTGTCCAGCAGCAGAGTGCGGTATGGCCCCAAGTACAGGCGCAACCAGCTCCAATGGCACCTCAAAAACAGAGCCATGTCTACGGGTCGGCTCCACGTATGCCCGCCCAACAGCAGGCTATGCTGCCTGTCCTGAATGCAGCGCCCACACATGGCAAGAGCCAGGGACCGGCAGCTGACGAAGACTATGATGATTACGAGGAGGAAAAGTCCACAGAAGCTCCAAAGAAGGTGAGAAATTGTAACACTATTGACCTTTCATTAAACTAATTAACGTTCTGCTATGTTCACAGAAGCAACGCAAGCACAAAAAGGTCAAATCAAAGACCCCCAAGGACCCCATAGAGCTGGCCCTCGAGCAAACACAACAGCAGCAGCAGGAAGTACCCGCTCTGCCCGTTCCTGCTTCGCCCGTGCATGAGCAATACAAGATGATCCACGAGAACCTGGCTCTGGAGTTTCGCGATCACGATGGTCACTCGGAGCGTCCTGGCGGAGCTGTGCTTTCCTTAACGTTCGGCCTGCTCGTGACTGCCGCCCTGGCCATTCTCATCGGCTGCCGGATGCGGACAGTGGGCCGAAGGGCTCGACGTCTGGGCGGAAAGACGCCCTACTCACAGGAGGCGGATTTCCTGGTCAACGGAATGTACCTCTAAGGGCTGCAACACAGGCCAGGGACGGGAAATTCCCAGATTATCTGAGTTGTTCCATGAGCGTGCGCTGATCTTCGTGCGGGGGAACGTGTCGGTACTTATATTTATGAGTAATACTATAATGAGATACATATTTTATATAAACAAATGTACGAGTATATCAAATTAAAGTGAACTTAAAGTAAAATCTGTATCTCTCTTTTTACCATGATCTTTCATTAACAAATTGGGACCTAACACAATTTCAGATTTAGCTATTAGCTTAGAAAAACCACTTACATATGAATACATGTGTTCACTTTTCCATATATTTTCCTTTATTCTGTTTTTATTGGGTTCCTCATTGTCGTTTTGTTTGCTGTTGTATTTACGCAAGAAACTTACACTTTAATTTATTGTTATATTTTAATGTTCAGTTTTTCTCATTGATTCTTCGACTCGACTGGTTGGTCATTAAAACTACAAAATAATAGGAAGTTGGTTTGTCTGTTTATATATATTTGTCGTTTTCGTTTTCTTGTTGTTATATAAATCAGCTGCTGACGCTAATTATGCTCGATCTCGCTTTTGTTTTAAGTTTAAAGTACCGCGCAGAAGTTATAGTTGTCGCGGCAGCTCAAAAAATAGTGTTAAGTCTCTCAGATTACTGGAAAACAGTTGGCCAAAGAACAAATATAATACGCTTACAAATATCACATTAAAAATTAAACCGAATAGAGTTTTCATATAAATAACAAAAATTTGATTATTTTCTTTTGGAATTTGGAAAAGTTGTCTTAAATTTTGTATACATGATCGATTTGTTTTGTTTTTGTTTTTTAAGTCTTTTATCGTTGAGAATTTCCATGTTGCGGCCGTTTTGCGATTAAAAGAGGCTACTGAATTTGCTGACCTGAATTTGATTTTTCCCATAGGTATTATGCTTTAAAATACGCTCTCCTATTACTTGTATTTAGCTCCCTTTCACTTAACACTGTACACATATAAAGTAGACTAATTGTATTTATATTTATGCAGTTGAATATGACAGTGCAGTGTGTATTTTGGATGAAATTTATGTTTTGCTTCATTTTGTGTGTTCGTTTGCTAAGCGACCTAAAAACATATAGTTCAGAAAAATACAACATGAGAAAACTCAAAATGTTTTTACAACTTGTAGGCTCAAAGGAATCGACTATTTCTGGCTGTTGGCGGTTGCTGTTTGAGTTACTGTTGTTACTGTTACTGTTAATTTAATTTTAGTGTTTAGCATAGTTTAATATATATTTATAAAATAGACTTTCTCCTTATCAAGATGCGAATTTTCGTTTTTGTGGTTGCAATTTTCGGTTTGTGGTACAAGTGTTTTGCAAAAACTTACGCATCATGTTGCGTACCTAAACAAAGAACGTATTATAGTGAAAAATGGAAATCTTTAACGCTATTCAGGAGTGAACCTACCGCTTTGTCCAGAGACGCGCAATTCGATCGTGCTCTTCTCGATTCTGCAAGTATTGCGTGGCAATGCTGCCCACCAGTGGATCAGCTAGGACCGGATAAAAAACAGAGTCAGTCACGTGAGTCAAGCTGAGTGCGATTTTCGTTAGGTACAAGTGATTCCTTACCTGGATTACAGTCTGTAAGCAGGGAACAAATTGACAGCAACACCTTGGATATGGTCAACGCCGGCGACCAGTTGTCCTTCAGTATGTCCAGACATATGACGCCTTGACTATTGATATTGCAGTGATAGATGCGTGTGCGAAATGTGACTTTGGGCGGCTTGAACGGGTACTCCGGCGAGAAGTGTATGTCGAGGAAGAAGACGCCGCCTTCGTACACGGACCCCGGCGGACCTAGGATAGTGGACACCCATTCGTACAAGTTATCCCCCTTCGGGCCAGCACTGCAGTTCGGTGGGGGGTCCAATGTGATCTCGGCCAGCTCCTTCTGTATGCGCTTGGCCGAGGTGCCCAGCGCCTTCGATATCCGAGGCGTCGGCTTGGCATCTTTGCGTGGCTCGTCGCTGCCCCCGGAGTTACTGCCCGAGGCGCCCCCGTTGGCATTGGCGCCTCTTCCACCGCGGGCCGGCGCTGTTCCGGTGGATGTGGGTTGACTGTTGGCAGTGCTGGCTGTGCTGGAGGCGCTGGAATTAGAGCTGGCGCTGGAGGTTGCCACTTCTGCGGCTCCGGCCGCTGCTGGAGTTGAAGACATGTCTGGGCGTCGAGACAGCGAGGCTGCAAAGAGAGGGAGAGAGTGAGACGATGAGAAAGGTCCTTGACCCGATTTCTCCCAGGAAATTTCATAATGTGGGGCAACATGCTTTGAAGAATCTTTGAAATTGTCAGGATCATCGGCATTCGAGCCTTCGAGATTCGAGCAAACCGAACACACATTTTGTTTAATATTAATCAACGCTCTGCAGCGGCCATTTTGGCAAACTCGACAATGACCGATGCGCGGCTCTTACAGCCGCAAACGGGCGTGATTTGTTGGAAAGGGGAAAGGCTTCCTATTTGACGAAATTCGCAAGAATTTCCAAAGTTGGCCTCGCTCTTTCGCCGAATTTCATGGCGCAGTAAAAATCAATCAGCAGACATTTGCAAAACGCGGTGCCGCCGCTGCCGCCACCGACGTCTAAGCCTTCGCATGCTGCATTATTGTTGCACAATTTTTTTATTGGCCCTAACGATCAACGAGAAGGGTTTTACCTCTCCTTGACTAATACACACCTCACTCTCACAATTTCTTTTACTTTTTTCTACAGCGACTATTGCAAAAAAGATTTTCTTGCCCCTGTCGATTGACCTGCCGCCTGCTCCCACGCACTCACACACACACTTTCCTGCGCCTTGGGTGAGCAAACCTTTCGGGGTCTTTGGCCGGTTCAGTTCGCGCTTATCTTTTTCGCCTTTACACTTTTTTCGCTGCTTTTGTTTGGTACAAAACTTCTTAAATATATGAATGATTAAGACCGTCTTTATCTTTGTTAGAAATTCGATGTGACATATCGGTTTTGTGTCATCCCTAGAAGGTGGTTGGTAGCCGCAATAGTGGCCATCTCCAAAAGAAAACAGTGCTGTAAATCGAACGAAATATGAATGATTAAGAGACGCGGATCAAATATACCGTCAGACCGTCCGAAATATACCAAAATATACAGTCTCATTTTAAAAATATACCATAAACTATACCGATTACAAAAACGAACTTAGCCCACATGTGCCCCCACTATTTAAACAGTTCAACGCCTTGAGGTAAATGGCGGAAAATATTACTGATTGTAAGATATTTTTTAATTTCATGCTATCTTTCCTCTAAAAGAGGACACCTGGACTGCTCCAAAATGATTTCATTTTCATTACCTTTGGTGGAATATATTTCAATATAACCCCTTGGTCTACTATGTGCTAATCATTCACAAGGAGAGCGAATAAGAGAGACTTAACCAATTTGAGCCAGCCAATAAATTCGACTGGTTGCGAGTGGTGCGCGCCAAAAAGTGGCCAATCTCCTAAAGAAAACAGTGCTATAAATCGAGCCAACTATAGTTTCCCTTGCGGAAGGGAATATTTATTTTAAACTTATGTTGTATTTATAAATTTTGTATAAAAAGCAGTAGTGGTTGTGAATGTGACTACTTAGTGTCCATATTTTCTACTAATGCCTTCCGTGATTTAAACACACGTACTGTGTTGTCAGAGCCGCCGGATACGATATACTTCGGGTTGGTCCAGTCTATGTCCAAGACCTTCTCCCCATGACCCAGCAGATCGTAAAGAGGAGCCTTTGGACTCCTACAATCCCACAGCTTGTTCTGATTGTCGTACGAGCCAGATACGAAGAGGAATTCTTCTGTTGTTGACCACATCACGGTCTGGACCCAGGCGTTGTGGCCCAGGTAAGTGTTACGGACGACAGATCCCTCTGTAAAGACAATCACACATTGTTTAAAAATTACTTTGAAATTGTGGTCAGCTCCTACGGTTCGTTCTAGAATCGTACAGGCGCAGATTCTTGTCCGCCGATGCCGTCAAAATGAGGTGATTTAGTTTTGAGTAACTCGCATCGAAGATTGACTTGTTTGTGGATATTTCGGCCTTAATGCCTTCCAGGCTCAGGTCCCACACCTTGAGCGTGTGATCCCAACTTCCTGTGAGCAGGGTGCTCGCATCCATCCACTGCACCGCAGAGATGCTTTCGCGATGTCCCTGAAGAGTGATTTTTGGGGTCTGCGAAATAAATGCGCCAGTGATGATTTGAGTACGGATTCCATTATATGTTGTACTCACTCTAACTCCGCTCTCCTTCATGCGCTTCGATGTTCCTTCTCCTGCATCTTCCAGCTCAGCTGACCACACTTTCAGCATGGTGTCCCACGACCCTGTCGCAAATCGCTGTCCATCTGGGCTGACGCTGACGCTATCGACGCCCCTCTCGTGACCCTTGCACACAGAAACACATTCAACAGTATTGGCACCAACATTCCACTGCCACAACATAGCTGTTTGGTCTTGTGAGCTGGAGACAAAGCGACCGGTGTCGTCATCTAGCGAAATCCAGTCCACAGCTTTGATGGGAGCCGTGTGACCGGGGATGGTGAGAATGTGCTTGCCCTTGTTGGTCCAGATGTTCAAAGTGTTGTCATAGCATCCCGTCAATATCCACTTGCCAGAGGCCTTCACTGCCGACACCCAGTCGTCGTGGAGCAGGCAATCTTGCGGCTCTGGGGCGGGGAAGCGCTCTACGTACTCAATCTCTATGGCATCCTCAAAGCTAATGGCCTTCTCCCGCAGATGGTCACACAGTCGGCCCCTCAGATACTCATCGAAGACCAGAAAATCAAAATCCACGGCAGAGCTGCCCTTGCTCAGAAGCAAGGCGTTCACGAATGTGTTCAGTTCCGCGGTAGTGACTGTTCCATCGATAGCATAGGGAACGTCTGGCACTGCATAGCTGGAAAGGGATACTTGGATTCATTTGTTTCGTTCATTCGTGCGACTCTTACTGTTCTTGTTTGGTTTTGAGGTGCACTTGCACCTGCCCCTCGCCGTTGTCGACATCCATCTTCGTGCCCACGTGCGTTTGGATAGGCGGCACTCAAACTTGGCGTTTCTTTGCGGGTGTTCTACGACTTCTGCTCCGATAGTTTACTGATTCTGTAGAGCGCGGATCTAGCAAACTTTTTCTGGACATTAGTCTATACAGCAAAGTACTTTAATCCTTATTTTTTGTTCTTAAACTGAGCGACTATGTTTTATTTTCGATTAATTTATTTTCGACTATTTATTTTCTGGCCCTCAGACATATACCAAAATATACCGTCTCATTTTTAAAATATACCGTAAATATACTATTGGCTAGTAAAAACAGGAGGGCTAGAAAAATTAAATACCGAAAAACAGCGGATGGTAGTCGACGAGCGAAATATAGAAATATGAGTCAAATGAAGAATGATTATATGGAAATTATAATTAATTAATTGTAGAAGTTGTATGGAGTCAAAAACTTTTTTTGTTTGCAAGGAGCACAGATTCTTTATTTTTTTCATAAAATTTCTATTGCATTCTATCGATAGAATTTAAAAAATATATTAGTTAAATGTTATCGGAATGGAAACGGACTTTTAAAATTGAAATCTGTGCCAAAAAATGATGAAGATTCTGTACGTATGCATACCAATTTGCTAAGCCAGGTGTTATATGGTATGGTCCACCCATACAAAACAATAAGAAAACTGTCGAATTAAAATGATTATTAATTATCAAAGCTTTGCAAGCCATTCCGGTGGTGATGATTTTCTGTATTTTGTTTTCGCTATCACATACATATTTCGCAAAATGAGTAAAACGAGATGGAAAAGAAGACACGCCAATAAAGACCATACCAGCAATGTGTAAATGACTCTTCACATATCAAAGACTGGTAATTGTACATTTTTTTGATTCAAGCCATTAATATGAACCAGATAGCACCTGAAAGACCACTTCGTGGTTAAGTGTGCACTGGAAGGTTAAATGCCTCTTGACATTTCTGAAGTGGCGCTCAACCTTCGCATTAAATTTGGACAAATGCCCAAGAAAAATTTCCAATAAAAAATATTCGTGCATAACTTTATGGGTCGGTGGGATATGGAATTGGCTGGAAGTAATTTTACTTTTTATATTGTTTTTTCCTGTGAGCTTCACAAAAACCAGAAACGAAACCAAACGAAAGAGTCAAAGCTTTCCAGACGTTGGGGTCTTCCAGCGACGGAGCTCAGCTTATAAAACGAGCTCAGCGCCTGCGCAGCCGAAACATTACAAGAAACGACACGCGCAAGGTAAGACAGGGTCTTGAAATCCGCAAGAAACAAAATTGCCTAAAACATTCGTCCAAACGAATCTACGTGAAAGCCTGAAGATCGAATTAGTCTAAAAACCGCGCATCTCTTGCAGTTTACATATCCTCAAGAAAAATGAAAGTGTTCGCGCTGTGTTCGATGCTTGCCTTGCTCCTGGCCGGCGCTCAGGCCCTGCCCCAGGGCCGCGAGGGTGCCGCCTACACAAACGAAGCCATCCGGCAGGCACAGCAAACCCTGCTCATACCCAAGGACGCCCAGATACAGAACGTTCAAGAGGGCATTGAGCTGGGTGCCTACGAGCAGATTCCCGGCAACCAGCGCATCAATCTCTTCGAGATCCTGGGCGACCAGGTGCCCTCCGAGGTGATAAACAACCTGCAGGCCCAGGTCGACCAGATCGGTCGCAATTAAGATGTAAGACTTTACTTGTTAGATCATTTCCATTTCGCATCTTTTGTTAAGTTTTCCAATAATAAAAAAAAAAACCACAAAAATGAAAGTAATTTAATCACAGCTATTTGTCTTCTGCTCTAGCCAAAGCGAAAGTAATCCTCCCCAAACCTGTTGGCTCCTCTCTCGCGGCCAAATTTTTGATCGAAACTGATCGCGGGGGTCCGATGTGATTTATTGCGTTTTTGTAGCTTTTTCCTAATGCTCTTCGCTGACTTTCTCCTCGCTTATCCCGGTGCGCATACAAATTAACAAAAACATCGCTTCCACCAACCAGCTGGTGTCCGCAGCCCCTGTGTTTGTTGTTGTATCCTCAACCTTGTTACATAAGCGACTTTTTGTGCGATGCGATTGTGCATTACAGTTCAATACGTACGAGTACGAGTAAGAGTATGAGTACGAGTATGAGTACGAGTATGAGTATGAGTATGAGTACGAGTATGTAAGCTGTTGGCAGTGGGTAACCCGAGGCGCCTGCCCCACCGGCGGCTTTGCTGCGCTGCCGTGATGCAACAGTTGTCGTCGTGATTGTGGTCTTCGTTGTTTTCTCGGGCTTCGTTTTGTTTATTTAATTTCTGGGTAATTGCCGCCTCATGCTCTTGCATGTGTAATGAGGGATCCGAGAGGGCGTGGCTGATGCTGCTTATGCAACCGATGGGCAGGAGGGGGACCTCACGCTCGCATTCCACCTCTATCTTGAAAACTGTCAAGAGAATAAAATGCGTTTTTATTTGCCATGAGAGAAAAAGTAGTAGCAGATACACCCTATTACCATTCCATGGTTCTTAAGTAACCGTAATTATTGAAATTATTTATTTTCTCAAGTTTGTATTCGAATTTTTTATTTTATAATTCATACATTTGAAAATGGACTTGAAACTAAATTTACACTAGTTAAAGTATTTCTAAAATATAGTTTACTGTATCTCAAAAGACTGTGTGTGTGTGTGGGGGTGTGTGTGTTAGTTTGGAATCATCGCCTAAATAAGTTAGATATGTTTATACATATATATATAGTATGTAGGATATGTAGGACTAAATAAAAAAATGACTGCATTATCATTTTGACACTTTGCTTTCTGGTTAGTTTTTAGTTTTTGTTTTCATTATTATAGTTTTTAAATTCAAGATTTGCAGCTCTTAAGATCGAGGATTATTTATTTCATGCCAAAATTAAATTAATTAAATTCTGTATATCAAATAAATTACGATTAAAGTAGGTGTACGTGTAAGTTGCTTTAAATTAAAACCTTTTCATATTCAGTCTAAACTTAAAAGCTTTTCAAATCGAAGAGGACTATATAATTTGCCATTTCATTTTAAAATAAATCACCTTTAGAGCAAATAATTCACATCATTCGGCTCTCCGTTTCCAAATCATTTCCATATTTTCGTTAAGAAATAAGTTACAAATTAAATAAATTCAGGATGAGATAAAACAAGTTAAAAATTGCGACTTATGCGATGAATTTCGATTGTGGGCGTGCTAATGATTGAATGCTTACGTGCACTTAGGTCGTACGTATAAATTAGAGATGCTCATATATGATATATAGTTTGTATCTTAGCGATACCTGCTCGTATTGCTGTCCTGTGTGCCTCGAGAGCTAAACCAATAGAGCGGCTTTTAGTTATTGCATTTGGAGAGCCCAGCTTTGCTAATCGTAAGATATTGTTTTATGCTTATTATGTTGATAAATTCAGATGGTGTACATACATATGCTTATGATCATTACACGCGTTTTATGCAGTCTATGGAAACAACTTCCACCTCCCAGAAGAACTCTGCTCCTCCCTCCTTCTACTCCCTTTCTGACTACTTAGACCTAACACTCGATCACTTCAATAGCTGGATTTTCGTTGGCTAGGCTTTAGAGTGTATATATATATATATACAATAAAAGGTTTGCTTGTCGATCCGGTTCAGACCCCGCTAGGTGCCGATCAGTAGATCCGCTGAAGGTAGAGCCGTCCCAGGGGCAGTGCCCGCTCCACAAAGCTCTTTTCGGCCCGCGTCGACGACTTGTCTTCTGAGGTCGTCTTGGCTATAGTCTCTTGGCTCTCGTCGAGCTTGAGGCTCTCGGCATCGGCCTTGGGATCCACGCCGCCCGATGTCTGCAGTTGACCTGCCCCAGAGCCCAGCTCGTCGATGTCCAAGGCAGAGATTGGGATGGATCGCGGGGTGGTGGGTTCTTTGATTTCCCCACTACTGTTCCCGATGCCCTTGCCCATCAGTCCCTCCAGAGCATCCAGCTCTTCGCTTGTCTCATTCTCGCTCTGGCCGTGGCCAATGTTCTCCAGCTGCAGATCACTCGCGTTCTGAATGCGCGTTTCCCCGGAATTGTCCTCGGCACTGTACATCAGGAGGGGTACCACCGAGCTTTTCTCCTTGCTGGAGGAGGCAGCCATCAGGACGTGATCGGTTGTCGAAGATCCCTCGAGATAGGGCTCCATGTCCCCACTGCCACTTCCGCTTCCACTGCCGTCCAGAGCTGACTCTTGCATCACCTTGGTGTGCCTGTTGTCCGCCTCGAAGGGACTCGGTATGCTCCTCGGCTCGTCCTTGGTGTAAGAATCGGCCACATCCTCCAGCTCCACGAGGGGAAAGTTTACGTCTCGCAAGCTGAAGTCGTCTTCGGGCAGCGAGGGGTACGCCGGATTGGACTCGACTTGTGGCACATCCTCATCCGCGTCCATGTGGTGGGTGGAGCTCATGGGAGGCATCTCACTGCTGCTGCCGGGGCCCTCCGTACTGATTTCTGTCTCTGGGTTGGGTCTGGTGCTGTTCTTCCTGGTGACGGGGGAGTTCGAATCTGTACTCGCGCCAATGCCAGAGCTGGGACCTTCAGTGGTGGAGATTATGTGGTAGATGTTGTCACTGCCCGCTGTGTCCGGCTCCAGCTCTCCGTCGGGAATCTCAGCTAAGGCATCCCCAAAGCCGTTTTGTATGAACACGGACTCCGCCCCACCAGTCCCGGGCTCCTCGTACCCTTGGGTGCTCGGCGAGGGCCGCTCTGTGGTGAACTCCCGCTTAAAGCTGACCTTGCTGGGATCGTTCTGGGCGAGTGGCAGCAGGCCATCGGCATTGTAGCTGACGAGCGGATCTTTCTTTGTATTCTGCTCCACGTCGTTGCCGCTCTGGGCATGCGGTCGCTCTATGTAGCCCGCCGAGGCAATAAGCTTTAAGCTCTCGCTGCTGGAAGTGCCTGGAAGTGCTTTCGGGGTTGTGTCTTGGCTAAGCGGCGTCAACGCCGCCGAAGTCGTTGGTGTTGCTGCGGCGTCGGTGGATATCAGGACAGTTGTTGGTGTCGGCGGATATGTTGCCTCGGTTGTCGTTGATGTTTCTGTTGCTTGTGTTGTTGCTGTTGTTGCTGCTGTTGGTGTTGCTGTTGTACTGCCAACGGAACTTGCCGTTGTTCCCGAAGGCGGTGCTCCCTCGGTGGTAACCACTGTACCTGTACCGGCCGACTTTCTGGTGGGAATCGCCGGCTTAGCCTTGTTATCGTCGGTAATCCGAATCTCAGAGGGCTTAGTGATCTCCTTGATGGTAATATTCCAGTTATAGCCAGCGGGCTGAGCCACTGCCGCCGGCTTCTGGGTGGACGTGGTGGTGCTGCTCGCCTCGCTGGACAGCGGCGGATTGTTGTCCAGAACTGTGGATTGGGTGTGGAAAGATTGGATTAGTCTCGAACGCCATGAAGGCCCCACCGTGGCACTCACTCGGACAATTGTCGTACTCGGGGCAGCAGCGGCCGGGCACGTACTTGGGCATGCAGTCGTCCCGCCGGAAACAGGTCACTGAGCTGCAAACAATCTCGCCGCCTGCAACGAATGGAGTGTGATTGGTAAAAACTCTGGCAAATGACGGTACTTAAGCTATGAGATGTGTGTCCAACATCTGCAAAAACATTTTTTGACCTTACATTTACATCTCATTTATTTCCAAGAAATTATTGCCCCAAGATCGTTATTTATCGACTGGCAATTATCGAATTCAGGACTTTTATAATACTTTATATATATTAGTATATAAGTTTAGATAAACCAGATCAGTTTGAGCCTCAACTGACCCTCAATTTTCTGAGAATTATTATAAATATTAATGTCAGGTGATGCTCGGGACAGGCAATAAATCTTAATTTATTTTTAATTTCTCAAAGATGTACTCTTTTTCAGATTATTCTGTTTACCTGCAATTAAAAATAAGTGAACTTGGACTTTATTGGAGAGAAAATCTGGCTGGAATCAACGTGAGTTTTCCTTTCGATGATTATTTCTGTTTATATTGGACCAAACACCGAGAAAAATATATTTTGTGCACCACAGAATATGACTGCAGATCTTAGAAATATTAATTGAAAACTAACGACAAGGATGAGAAATGAGGGGAAAGTGTTCTACAATATTCTGTAATACTTGGTGGGTATAATATATTTTTTGTTTTGCCGACAAGGATATACTCAATATTCCGTTTCCGCCATCTTCAGTTCATCATCTCCAATTCCCGCCGTTTGACTGTCGCTTGAAGTTTCCGCTATTGCGATTTTACACCATCTTCAGCTTATTCTATTCCCTCGCCTTTTTGGTCCTTTTCTGTTGCTAGTGCGACGACCCAAGTTCGTTATTCATTAGTTTTCAAGTCGTTTTCCAATTGCAATCATCACAAGTGGCCAGTGGGAGGCTACTTAAATATTCACTTAAATAAGTGTCCGTTTTTTTAAACCTTTCCGACCTTCCGTGGTTAAAATCGGTCAAGTCATTCAAGAGATGTAGATATTAGTTCTTAAATTGAATTTTGAGCGTTTATTATTCACGGTAAACTATTTTGGATGTATCTAAAAACTAATTATGGATGTTATAGCCCCCAGTTTTTAGGGAAACGTTACAAGTATATCCACTATTTTCTACTCATTCCTAATTAGTCCCAAAGGAAACCTTTGTACCTATAACTGTCCAAGACCCAATCCCGAATCTGAGTTTATGGCACTGCAACGGCTGTATATCGGTGCCTCGCCTCTTCTAGTTCTACCGTAAACTCAATCAACTCACCTTTGCAGTAGCAGACAGTGCATGGGGTATCCGGATCCACCAATTTATAACCATTGGCGTAAGTTTTTCCATCCTTTTCGCAATCTGCGCGTGGAAGAGGAGGAAGAGATTTGCATAAATGCTTCCGAACGATGCCGGGTGAGGGTGTGGGTGTGGCTGTGGGCGTGGGTGTGAGCCGCAGCTACCACTTACCGCATTTATAATCGGGACAACAGTGGCCGGTCCGCTGGATGGCGCGGCAGCTTGTCTGCTTCTCACAGTGCACCGTCGTCTCTGGCACCCAGAGCCCGTCCAGCAGGCAGTGGCCTATAAGCAATTCGAAGAGGCGGCGCGGCGCATTGTTTGTCATTTAGTTTGCGAGCAAAAGGTGGGTGCGGGTGGAGCAGTGGAGGAGTGGAGTGGGGGGAGATTAGTTTTCGGGACTTACCCTGCGGCTGCTGCTGTTCTGGTGGCGCTTCGGTGGTGGTGGTGGTGGTGGTGGTGGTGGTGGTGCTGCTGCTGCCGAAGGTGATGGCGCCGCTTCCGCTGCTCGATCCGGTGCCAGCGATGCTCGGCGTGACCGCCACCATGACGACTGCGGAGGATGCGCTGCTGTTGCTGCTGCTTTCAGTGGCAGTCACTGCAAAGAGGAGAGGCACACGAATGGGAAATTAAAGAAAGCGGAATATCAACAAAGGCTAAGCGAGGGTGAGGTCGAGTTACACTGGAAGAAAAAAAGCCAGGTGTCAGACCAATATTTAAATATCTAGCACATTCGAGGTCCAAAGGGTCAATTCTTATTCATTTTCCCTACCATACAATCGCCTATTGCTGTGGGACTTTTGGAGAGTGTATGCCAACAGGAACCAGGGACCAAGGCCTTTGCCTTGCCATTGCCATTGCCCCCTTGTCAGTCCGTACCTACATACATATTTGAATGAATGACATTTTGATAACAGTTGTTTGTTGTTCCTGTTGCTGGACCCGTTGTTCTTGCGGGCTGGCGAGGTAAAATGCTATCAAAATACGGGAAAGTTAAATGAGTTTAGTTTTAGTTTGGCTTTTTTGTTTGCTCGTTGGGGGGAGGTCCCAGTTGGGATCCCAGATTCTTCTCGGCGGCCAAGATGAAGTGGCAGCTGCTTTGTCTATTGCAGTTGATTGTCCAGTCGGTGTGTAATTCTGATTGACATGCCCTGTACGAGCACAAGAATATCTTCCATTTCGTGTTTAAGGATTTGGGGCTGGGGGAGTGTCCCTTCCATGAAAAATGATTAAACGGGTGAGAGCATTAATCATATGCCCCGAGTCTCACTTTTATTGCGGTTGTCCTGGCTGTCCCTTGCTAGAGCTCGACCTTCATAAACTGTGCGAGCATGTGGCTCCCAGGCCAAATTGTTTTTCTAGCACTCATTAGGGGAACTGCATATGTGGCTGGTTTCTGCCCTTGTGCGCCTGGCAGGGGGACTCTTGTTTGGGACTGTTTTAGGGCTCCAAAGGGACCGCTCTTTGACCTACATTTTGCGACTTGAGGAGGTCTCTTGAAGAAGTTTAAAGTATGAACATGAATTGACTGTTTTCAGCAACAGATCATACAGAATTTATGTTCTAGCGCCTCTCGTTTCCCAGACATGAGAGCATTCTCATTGACGGTTCTTTCCGCTTGTTCCCTAGTACCTGCACATCGCTTAGCCCGGTGTGTTGCACTCATTTACTGTCTGCGACTTGCATTTAGCCGGCTTGAAAACTGTTTGTTGCTTGTTTGTTATGCAAGACACAGGCACAGGCACAGACACGGACACACATGGATGAAACTCGAAACGTTGCAATTAGTAGAACAGCTTCCCGCTTTGCGGTCTGTTTTCGTTGTGGAACGCAGCGCTAATTCCCCGAGCTTCCATTGTCTCCGAGTCTCTGGGTCTCTGGGACTCGGGGCTCGTTGCTGCCGCTGCCGGTCTGCCGTGTGTCTCCCTGTATTTTGGATGGCCAACACGTTTCAAATGAGCAAAATTATTATTCACATTATGTAGAACACCCAGACAGACAGAGAGGACAAACAAAGGCATTTGGCTGACATTTGGCTCGGACTTAAGCAATACGAATCGCGCAGATTACGTATACGCCACCGTAAGATCTCATTTAAGATTTTCCCCGCCATCTATCTCGTTCCACTCTGCTCTTTTTGTACTTAAATTGCGAGTGTTCTTGACAATGAATTGTGAGCTGTGAAATCGCTTTGTAAATTACCCTCTGATTGTTTTCCGCAAGACAGAAAGTACTTATGGCTTATGCAAATTCCCCATCGAAGGTGAGCACATCGTCCCCATAAATTGCATTGATTTTAGGAGAATATTGACTTTACTTTCTTTAAGATAAATGATAGCCCGATGGCGAGCAATTGTTGTATGCAAACATCCCAAGTGAAATGACTTTCTGGCGGATGAAAGCATAGGGCATAGGCCGAAAGTCCATCCATTAAAATCATTACAGTTTGTAGCACATTTTTGACAGCCTGCCCCCCCTCTGTGCTCACTGCACCAGTGAACCGCACTATTAATAATACTTAACACCATTGATAAATACGGACGGCTATAAACGGCTAAGGCCGGAACCAACAGCAATAACAAATCATCCCAAAGTCGGGGCCCAGTCCTGTGGAAATTGCCGAAAATTGTCCGCCGAGACGCCCGGACGCCCACACTTCATAAACTACTCAACTCTGGCCGGGAGCAGAAATATTTTCTATCATTATCATTCTATATTAGATTTCCACCAAGTGGCTTTTCCCTGGTCGCCCTGGCAGGGTCCCACTCCCCTTCTGTCCCCATGCATTGCTAAGCAGAATTTCCGCTGTGCGGTTTGCGGGCTTTCTTAAGGAGTTTGCGGTTAGTTAGACAGAAAATCGCTGGCTTGACAGGGCCTCTGCTGCGCTCTGCTCGAGGAGCAGTAATAAAGAAATTTCTTGGCCCATAAATTGTAAGTGTAATTGCAATTTCATCGGGACAGGAAGTGAAGCAGCAACACGAGTTGTTGAAGTTTGTGAACTGTGAAATCATCGGAGAGTCAAGTAAGATCGGAAAGGCAAGTTTATGATGTTTTATGATAGTGTTTTAAAACATAGACACGCTCTGAAATGGGAACATAAGTTCTTTCGTTCAATCCCCAGAAACACACAAAAAGGAAGGCGGGACTTGGAACTATTAAGACTTGAATTATTTATCAACAGACTAAGAGCTGTCCAAGCACTACCTACATCGTATTCGGTCTATTCCAGATCTCACGTTGACACTTAGAACATGTCGTCATGCTTATAGATAGCATTATGTATCCCCGTGATATTTCCATTGTCTCCTCTGGGAATTTGAGCGGAAACCGAGAAACCAGCGGCGCGTAAGTCGGCAGTTGTGAATGCGATTTCAAATTGACGCTTAAATGGCATTCAAAACGAAAGCAAAAACAATAAAAGACAATCAAAACCCAGCTGACAGTGGGACAGTGGGACGGCGGGACGACAGAGCGACAGTGGAACAATCTGACAGACGGACAAATGACTACAAATGAGCTTTTCGAGAGCTCCTCTACTTTTCTCGGGCCGTGTTTGCCCTCACTTATTGTGGGGCTGGGGCGAAAATGATAAATGAGCTCCGAGATGGCGGAGGCACACACTTTTGTCTCACAAAAAAAACACACACTCATCGCCTCAAAAAACCTTAGACAACAAATTATTTGGTTAAATGGCAGGTGATACGCGGGAACTCAAAATATCTGGGAGGGGAGAGCGGGCGAGACGAGGTTTATGTCAGATTGAACAAAGTTTTCTGATAGAATCAATCAAATGAGATTTCTTTTGTGGGCAATTGAACAGCAGATCTAATGTACAATTTGTTCTATTAGAGAACTAGCAAAATAATAATGGTTATCGCGAAGAGTCTACTTCGTTAGGAGAGCAATCAATCATGTGTTTCGGAATGCAAGTGCAATATTCAAATACTTAGATGAACAAATCTAAATCGTTCCCTATTGGCTTAGTCTTCTTCCGTCGAGAATGTGGCAATGATTCTGAGCATCGTCGAAAATGGCATTTGCAAGAGGGAGGAAATCTTTCGCATTGCTATGCAACTACCTCTGGAATATCAGTGTTATGCCCGGGTGCTTATCAAAGTATCTGTGCAGACGTGTGAAATGCGACAATAAGCGCTACTCATGAGCAGCGCTTACCTCCGGCCAAGCCACCTACGCGAACCACAAGACCATTCTGTGACCACTCCCCACAGCCCTGTCCATGCCCATGCCCATGTCTGTGCCCTTGTCCTGGCTGGGGATATTTAAATTAATAACGGCGCGGCCTGGGCACGCTGGTCGCTCCGTCTGGACTGTCATTAGGCGCATTAAAAGGGAAATTAGCCCTCCAACAGATATCTACAGATGCGCACACGGATGGATGCGAGGCGAGCGCAGCGATAGATGGATGGATGGAGATACACTCTGTCAGCTTTACGTGCCTGCCTAATTGTAGCTATTTGGGTAATCATATATACTTGCACTTGGGGGCTCCCAGAGTAGAGAGAAGGGGCGTCCACTGGGCATTGGCAGATACGTTTCACAATGACAAATTATTACATCGAATTTATTTTGCTAATCAAATATGGTACATTCTCGGTAATTACACTCTGCAGCACAGTGCCAATCGAAAAATGTATACAAAAATGAACAGGCGCATGCCATGAACAAATGAAGCTGCTTGACAATTTTCCACCGAATGACAACCCGAGAAAATCGGCTTAATGATCGGGGACTCATCGTGGCACTACTGCATTATATATCGGGTATATATTTTCATTTTCATAATCAATATGTACGGAGGCAGAGCCAGTAAAGCAGGGCCATCGGCCATACGCCGTGCCGTGTTGGCCAATCAAAGTCTCTTTATAGGCTGCCAGCTCGGTGAGCAGCGAGCGGTGTGGTGTGGCAGGGCATTGCATAAGATCCAACGACTGTGCTCGGCGCATTTGGCCGCCCTGAACTCTGTCAAACCGCAAAGCCAGCCCAACCTCAAGTCCTCTTCAGTGGATGGGCTAAGTGTTGACTTGATTCAATTAAGCCAGAGTGGCCATTCGCACTAGGCCCCTCTCTTTCTGTTTGTCCTGCCGTCGCCGTCGCCGTCGCCATCTCTCTCTCTTACCTGCCCGGGGCTGTGCAGATCGGCGTTAAAGTGTAACACTCCATAAAACAGATGCCCCGCTTGAACGTGACCACAATATAATTACCCGCAGCAAGACCAGCGCGCGCCACTTGTTGGTCTCGGGCAGGGCCCGTCCCGTACCATCCCGGCCCCGGCTCCGGCTCGGTGGCCGTCTGTGTTTGCGTCTATGATGGCTCTCCGGCCCGCAGTGGTCTTTAAAAGCTAATTTACATGCCCTGCTTGGACCCTCAGTCTAGGCCACACACACACACACCCACACCCACACACACACACCGATAAAAAAACTAAAGAAAGTAAAAGTTTTTTTAACACTTTTCATTTTAGAAGTTGCTCTGAGAGTTCGGCACGTGTGGGCAGGGCTCTTGTGTGTCTTTGGCCTCTGTTTGCCTTTCGCATTAAGCCAAAGCCCTCGGGGGGAGCCGAGGCGGCGGGGGACTCGA